CAGTAGTAACCTTAGAAGTTGCTGACAGATGGTCAAACCCTAAGCAAACTCCTTGCACTCAAATAAATTGGACATCGAGTTTTGTGTAGTCCTATAATGACTCTATACTGAGGGTGCTTATGACTGCAGAGTATTAAACGTTGTCAAAAACACGTACATTAACACGTCCAAGTTCTAATAATAGACCGGTACGTGCTGATCTCCTGATTTGCGTGAGGTTTTCATTCAAACTACCTTTCATCTGTTTTTATCTGTAATAATAGCTTCTCTTTTTTTGCCGGCAATAATCAATGAAGCTAAAGGCTTTCAACATTTGCCCTATAAAGGTTACCTGGTCAGGGTCATTGAATTGGCAGAACAAGGAAACGAAGATTAATGATGCGGGGAATCAGTCAAAGTTGTTGCAGTCCGCGTAATATGATGGAATTTCGCCTGCACCAAACTTCGTCCTTTTTTTCTGCACGGCACAATTACAGTTCGCTAGATTTATTCTGCCACTATTTTTGGTATTTGGGAACAGAAGATCAGGAAACTCATTGTTTGATTTTTTCGAAGTCCTGTGTGATTTCTATAATGTCCTGGCTAACACATTAGGTGAAATGGTCTAATTCTATAGTCGTTTGATTATCAACCACGGGGAATTGGGATTGAACTTTGCCAAAATATTGCTGTGGTTTTGGTTATAAGAATAAGAAAAGGCATCTGAGACGTAGCAGGGACAGAAGACTATCAAAGACCGTCCTAATCAGTGAATGAGGACCAATGCTTAACAGTTGCATGTATCAGAATCGAGAAACATGCCGTGTTCAAGGATATAATGAGCAAGTCGTGTGTTAGGCCAAGGAAACAGTCGGTACTCAACAGAATTCCAACACAGATGACCAAGTTTCACGCCGAATTAACGGTGAGTGTACTTTTGCCCACCCCGGATGAAAGTCTGCTCAAGTCACGGCCACTCTTCATTGCTGCAACATATTTAAGAGAGTAGGCGAACGTGAAAATCTTGAGGTAATAAAGCCTTCATCCTTGTTTACTCTAACTATTTTTAAAAGGGCTTTTGAAGAAACGTGTGCCAAAACACCACGGATACTTAAGAAATCAAAATATTGCCAGAAAATGATTTAGTCGCTTTATTTATAATTTGTACTTTCTAGCTGAAACGGGGATGGTAATACAAATGTCGACGCCACGTAAATTTGGCGACCTATAAATAGATTTTCAGACTTCTTAACTGAGGCCTTAGCAACTCAACGGTAGAGAGGAAGCTGTGGTAACCAAGCCCTGTTCACGAATCACAGAATCTGGCCATGGACTAAGTATTGAATGTGTTATTTTGGAGATTTTGAATCCGACCCCTGAATAATCGGCTTACACATCTTGGTATTCACCTACAATCAATGAGGGGTACCGGAATTAATGTTAAGTGAAGAGTGGGGAAGCGGTGCTATTGGGACTGATTTCATAACTCAATATTTTTAAAGGGTGAATTTGCGTCTCTACGTACCGTTCATCGGTGAATAGGTACCGTGAGATTAAACCTTCTAGTAAATGTGTTGTTTTAGGCATTAGATCTTTAAAGACTTGATGCAGCCGCCCTGTCTCTTGCAGCTACGTTTTTGGCTTTGGATAAACTTAACCACCGCGAACTGACTAAGCATACTTATGCTTGAACCAGCAAAAATGCTTGTTCCATAGGAACGAAATAATTTCTTGCTGTCTAACGTGGATAAATGTCAATTTTAGTTTTTGCGAACTTCGAGTGTTACCGTGACTACCACGCCATGGATCTTTGGTTTCAAAGCACCATCCGGCAACTTTTGAAAATGTAGCATTATGTAAGCTCAAAAGAGCGATGTGGAAAGTTATGAAGTGGATCAACATCATACTATTTTAAAGAAACTATAAAGTGTTTACAAAACAAATAAAATAACATGACTTGATCTTTAAACAACGTAGTTATACTTGTCGTTGCTAGACTGTTAAATTATTATTTTTCTGATAGTTTCAATTTCAAAAAGTCGAAGTTTAGGGGACGTCGTTAATCTAGGCCATCTACACTTCCCTGTCCAGTACTTGATGTTTTTTTTAGCACTCACAATGACATACTCAAGGCCATAAATTTAACTTACACTAATCTGAATAAAGTATTTAAACTGATCAAGTAATCCTTCCAGTCAGGTAATTGATGAAAACTAACTTTAAAAGATAGCCTTTGCCCCATCGTGCCAATAGCTAATATTAAGTCGAGAGCTTAAAGAATAAAAATAACTCGGTGAAAGAAAGGTATTTGACGTTTTCGCAAGTTATGGCCTTTAAACTAGAAGTAAAAATTACTTACTCTAGGATCTAAATGACCAGAAAACAAATGACCTTTCGACCCGATGTATGGGTTAATTTTTAAAAAGAAGACCGAATGGATTGCCGGTCTGAACACGCTCGTTCAGAGAATTATTTGCACAATAGATTCCCCTGTTTTGGTCACTAGGAGGACACATAATGCCGGCTCCAATTAGATGCCCAATCGCCACGCGCTATTCAAGAGAAGGTAGCAGGATGACGTAAAAATCTCGCATTTTCCCATTCAACCGATAATCGTCGTAATTTCTGCGAAATGTCACGCACACCAATGCACTCGAACGTAATATGCTAACTTTCGTAGGTGAAATTGCCTATAATTATTTATAATTCAAGCAGTGAATGGCCTTTCGAGGCGACAGTCATAACCACTGCACAACCAAATTTGTGAATTTTTTTCAAATCATTTCCCTTCGAAGTAATCACCAATAATATTAATTTTAGGATGAAGGTCACCCGAATTTGTTTAAAATTTATAATGGAGCTGTCAGTACACATTCATAATGCAGTTCTGATGAGGCATGCACCCCGTCTGAAGGTGGCAAATCATGGTAATAAGAGTTTCATCCTAACCATTCCAGTGAATCCCACGAAGAAACTCACACTCAGTGGGGGCACATGAGAAGACCACATTGCGAGGCAAAAACTAGGAGAAAGTAGCCCATAGAATTGATTTTCATACCGGCAATCTATATTCTACCGGAACAACAAAATGCATGGGATCCTGTCAAGGGGACGATAAGTTTATCTCTGACCATAAGAAAAGGTGTAAAAATAGAAGGATACATTGGGCAGGATTTATAGAGGCTTATTTACACAAAAAATGGACTGGACAAGCGAGTGTTGCCTGCACGGTCGAAGGAAAGACGAGGAAACGACCAAAGATGCCAAGCGGAAGTTCCGAGATTGTGAAATTTGATTTGTTAAGGTGGAATATTCCCGGGCCTGAAATGACTGACACATTGATCTGATTCGAGAGACCCATAGACTCGGGTAGCCCCGTGGGGAAAATTACGGAGAAGCTTCCATTTTGGAAAGAGCTATTAAAACAGGATCGCTCACCCCAAAGGGGACTCAAAAAGAAGCCGTATTTACAAGATTTGTGATCGGGGTTAAACCAAAATACGGCATTTTCATTGATTTTTAAGGGGTAAACAGGCATAGCTCGACAGGGTCGAGCCTAAACAATGCACTTATGGTGCAAGTGGACAAGATACCTGAATAAGACCCTAGAAGCACGGAAACTTCCCGGGATTCGCCTTCATTACAGTCAAAAGCAGCCCCCGTCCTACTAGAACAATAAAACTGACATAAACCGCCTGTTGTTGTGGTTTTAATTCGATGAGCTCCAAAACTAGTCGTAAACATTAGCAAGTACAGCGTCGTTCATTAGGTGAGCAAATGCCCCAAACATCTTCTCCAGCAACAGCTTCAGGGCTGCCTAACACGCCGACTTGTGAGGTCAGGCCTCATGGCGCAAACCAGTGGCCGTCAGGGCCATTAAGCGAGCGCCCGAGGACACTCGAAAACAGGATACTCATTGGTCAGCGAAGGACAGAGCTTCCAATTCAATGATGACTTGCAATTCTCCGGGCAGCAACAACACCAGTGACCAAAGGCCAAACTGCACACGTTTAAAATGCGTTCAAGTCTCAAGCTAATAGTTCTCTTTCTGCGGGGAGCGTAGCTGGCTAGGTTCACAAGCAAATAGCCAGCCCTCGTTTTAACGTATGACGTTCCGGCTCTACACACGTGCATTATTGTTTTATAATTTCATTTGTGCTCAAGTGTTAACTACGGAGTAGAAATCTAGGTATTCATTGTTTCAGCCTCCTTGACTGAAGTGGCTGGATGGCATGAAATTCAGGTAGGAATTAATTTCGGTGGCGATTCTTTCACCCTAACACGGTACCGGCATTCTTAACGAGAGTTTTAGGGGGGAATTCATGTTCACTTCATTATCACGGGTAGCATTAATTTATTCCTAAACTCAATAGCATTTGAATTCGAGTAGACACATAGGGATACTGTCAACTTTTCGGCGAACACAAACTTCTCAGGTAGGATTATAGTCTGGATTCTGGAGTTGGAATTACTCCAGCAGACTCGTCAGATTGCAGATTTGTTTGACCATAAGTGCAAGGTGTGTTCTAGTAAAATTACCGAATGTTGTTACTGAACTTCAATGAAAAATAACACTCGAATACTGGACAAGAATCAATACTGGGCTAATTCATGTGTATTCAGTCGGCAAATTTGAAGGAAATACAAGTGCATCTCAAGCCCTCACGCTCTTGTAGCAACAGTTCAAGCAGGTGCTTTTGCGTAGCTAGGCTTAATGTCCATTAATGAAAACAATGTAGATTTAATTAACTCCCTTTCAATTCGTTATTGGAAATTCCAAAATCTAAATGGGGTCTTGGAAAGGGTTGGAGGGAAATATCGTCCAGGAACCATGTGGAAACCCATCCTCTTCATTAACTATTAAGAATTCCGTGCGAGTGGTACGTTCTTAATAAATGTGCGGTCCGTGATTGGTCGTTGTTGTTGTTGGTCATGAAGGCACTTGATCGATCGCCCTGAGTCTTTCCATGGCTTTATGGTCGGTATCGGCATCGCCATACGTTCGCAATATCGTTTGACTGATGTGTGAGCGGGCCACCAATCAGCGAAAAAGACAGGCGCTTAACATGGCGCGCGTGCAAGCACGTACAACCGATAGCCATCAGATGGCCGGATATGTGAGAGGGGCTTGTGTGTCAGCCCCACCCTGCCCACTGCCCAGCAAGGCATGTGCGTGCACGATTCACGAGCGCCGGCTTTGTTCGCTCTGCGGGACCTCTCGCGCCCGCCTGGACGCCTCCGGCACGGCAGTTCTAATTATTCGCGCGCTTGCACGGCGCGGATTCGAGTGGCGCGCCGGCGGCTAATAAACAGCCGGCTCGTCTGCAAATAGGCTTTCACAAAGCTCGGTTGGGGACAGCGCTTATCTGGGCTGCCCCCCATCACTCAAAGGGTTGAAGCCGACCAGACGGAAAACCACGTCATTTCGGTTTAGGTCAACAGGGTGACGATTTTCTCGATGTCGCTCTTTGGGCGATAAAGTTACGGTCACTCGTCAATAATATCCCCACGGCAAATGGGGTGAATTATGAGGTAGGAAGCTGCTGCTCGAACCAGGGTTGCCTAAATGGTTCATTGTGTGGGTCACAAGAGTGTTGTTCCCCAAGTCTTGCACCATTTTACTTTCAGGGAATGATACATCTTATAATTATTAATGAGATAAAGCCTGCAGCAGAGTGGCCGCGATTTTCAACACCAACGTTGTGGAGAAAATTTGCAGAAAGAGATTGGATCCTTTTATATTTGGAGAGAGAGGGATGGCGTAGAGAGTGAAATTCTCAAGTCAACGATTTCCACTAGAGATATTTTATCAGATTAGAAAGAGCTTTAAGCACAAGCTCCTGAGGTGGGGATCACTCAGCTACCGACAAAGCTGTCGTCTTCTTTGTGCCATTTTGCTGCGAGCTTTCAAGGCGTGAAATGCAGGGTACCGTTCGCATAAGCATTGGGTGAAGCCTCATCAATACCTCCTTTTTCCGAAGCAGTTTGAGCTTCTTGACCGGAATAGATCAGAACCATGGGACTTTTAAAAGGGCATTGTATTCAGTGTTTAATTTACAGTGCCGGTTCAGCAAGACATATGAAATTAGTTTTTTTAACATTGTAGATTACCATGGGACCAAAAAACCACTGGAAACTAAAGTAGATACTGGAATGCATTTATTTGCTCGCTAAGATGATGCCTTGGTTACGAGAAGACGCTAATAGGATTTACGGATTACTTACAGTTAAATCAGATAGGTTGCAAGCACATCACAGGTCACGATTAATCATTTGCCATGTCGCGTACAAACTAGGTAGTGTTGCTTTTTAAACTACCTTTGCAAACGGAATCTACAACCAGAAGTTTGAAAGAAACTGGACCCAGCCCCACCTGAACTGATCAAAGTCCATCATTTTTCGGAAGGAAATCCCAGCTGGTTAGATGGACCGAACAACAAAATCTTAATCACGAATCGTACAGAATCTCATCATCTTTGGGTAACGTATCCGACCTCGGCAACTGGTTTTCGCCTTTGTCCATTGTGATTAGGCCTAAGAAAGCCGAGCCGAACCCTCACAACAAACAATAAAAATGGCAATGACATAAATAGACCACTGAGTCCACTATGTTTAAAAGTATTTAATTAAGAATTGGAATTGGTTGCTTTTAGCTTATAATCATTAATTTAAAATTAACCAATAGTTTATTCTTCGATATTAGATAATTGAATAGTCGAACGCTAACGTTGCAACAAGTCTTCGTATTTTTTTCTCGAAACAAGGCTTTACCTATGCCTAAAAGAGGCGATTACGCGGCGGTCAGCACAAACATGTTCTACACTTCATATAATGGTATTACTTGGCCCGTTCGTCTTCCGATGTCATTCCTTGAAACAGGGGAAATGCCAAGAGCAGGAAGAGAACTACACTTGTGTAGAATTGAGCATCACGCCAGGCGGTGGAAGACTAGGCCTTTCCACAGATGCCTGTCCTCAGTTTGAGATGCGCACACACGTGAGCGACCAGATGTGAATGGGGGTAATTAAACTTGTCCAGCAACAATAGATTAAGCATCACCCCCCAGAGCACACCTCTTGTGATTTGTAAAATACGCGTAATGGAGGCTTTTATTCCTGTTGAACAAAAGGGACCATTGTTTAGAATTAGATCATACAATTTAAATTGCAACTGGTCAAAACTTACAATTATGTGTGCAAGAGGAAGTGATTTTGACAAAATTATCGGAATCTTATAGGTACGTCTCAATTAAAGATGAAAGATCCACTAATTAGGCAAATACCTAATTCTAGGATTATCGTGTCTGCACGTTGGGGATTAAAAGACAACTGGGAAGGCAGTATCGGTGACGGCTTCGCTTGTAGATCATAGAATCTTGGAACTTAGTCCTGTCCACATAACATCATAGGGAGAGACAAGTGGACATTTGGCCAAAAGCAAGGTCACGTCTTAAAATTTGAGAGTTGGCCACGATCCGATTTTACTTTTAGCATACTAACAATGCGTCATCAATCAACAAAGCTTGTCCGCTGTCCTCCCGAACAATTTCATGATTACGATGTAATGGTAATAACGGAATATTACCCAGCGTCTCGTTTTTATTACAATAAAGGTATGTCACATTAATCAAGTTCACTATGCTATCAAGTTGACAAGACCATCCCATTAATTGCCTTCAAAACGACCAGGTGGAATTCGACACACGTGCGGTTTTGTTCCCAACAGCTGCGTGCTGCCCACTGATTCACGCTCAGGTACAAGTGCACCAATAGTGTAATCGCGTGTGATTGCGTAATTCAGTCATGTGTTGTCAAGATCGCGCTCCACTCTATATTCCCATTCGCTCACCACCCACGTGCAGTGCTGGTGACGAGAAACAGGCAACACTCATCCACAAACGATGACTCGTGTATGACTAGATCGCGGGGAAATGTCGAAACCAAAAAACATACCCTGTGCACACCGCCGCCTTAGGAGCTGATTTGGGAGTTTATGCAAATCCACAGTGAAACAGCGCAATGCTAAATACAATAGCAGCCTGAACACGCTTGCTAAAATGCGGGTTGTGGGCCTCCAGACAAATCACCTAAGCTGGTTTATCAAGATGGGTGATCAGGATGCCTAGCCTATCGGTCCGACACCGTAATTAGCGCCCGAAAGAGCCAATGAACAAGCGTGTCCTCACGGCTTTAACGAATCAAGAAAGCCCTCAAATGGATATTCGAAAGTTACGTCTACGACCTACGCAGGAATGAGCATTGGACCGCCCACGATATTTGACAGGGAAGTGGACTCGAAATCGTGTTGCTAGTGGCTCAAGGATTGGAAGAGCAATGCATACGACGATGGAGCCTCCAACGGATGCGTCGTGGAATGAAGCATCGCAAGTCAGCGACAACAACGAACAACTCACTTTCCGACCAATATTCAATCTATGAACATCCAATAATGTAAAGAATAAGGATGATATCTTCAACACCGAAAATTTTGGACACGGTTTTTTGTGCAGCGGCTCTGTGCTATGTTAGCGATCAAATAACTATAAATACTGGTGGCTAACTGGAGTACAAAATGAACCATTCAAAATGGCAATTCATTTGCTATCCTTCAGTCACGATTACTACGAGAACTTTGAGATTTCAAACGGAAACAGGCCTAAGACGAGAACAACCCAGTCCGTTAAGCAAGCAATAAAAAAACAAGACATGTTTTTACACATAATCACTCGACAGCCATTCAAAATTGACCGGAGCGGTATACTTGAGAACATATCCTACACACACACACACACACACCCAAGGAAGTTGGAAAAAGGGGTGGGGTGGGGACTGAGTAGACATGTAGCAAAAGGACATGTAGCATCAGAAGGGGTGAGATAGGGAGTATACGCATAAGTTCCATTCACCGTAGTAAAAGTTGGTGCCTAAAGAATCATCGAAAGGCGACCTGCACCAGTATGTAAAAGTCTCGTTCCTCTTTAGCGTCATCGGGAGAAATGCATTTTTCGGCGTAAGTGCCACTCGAGTATTTACAAAAAGACACACATTTAGGATAGGGGCAGTACAAAAATATAAAAATGATGAGATAGATGATGAGTAATGATGAGATACTTAGCAGTGACGATCGCGAGATGATTATATTTAGGCGCCAAATGGAGGATAAAATGTTACAATAGTTCGTAGTGTTATTCAGGGAGCGGCAGAGGTGGATGAAGGGACGAAGAAGACGTCTGAGGTGGTTGCGGCAGTGCCTTTAACTTCTCCCCCAAACCGGGGTAAGAGTCCGCCAACTGCTCCAGGTACACCCTCAACTGAGTTGCCTCCTTCTGTGAAGAGTCCAGCTCGGAACGGAGCCGTTCAATGTAGGATTTGAGGAGCTCCACTTCACCTTCCAGCGTGGCAATTCGGGTCACCTTTCTTTCACGGCATCTTCGGGCTGCCAAACGGTTGCGGGCTCGTTTCTTTTCTATCTTTAGCAATGACGGATCCGCTAAAACAAAGGCATTTATTCTAAGGACCACAGGCATTGAAGAGATTACAAGGCATTAACAAAACCCGTCTTGACGAAATGCTAAATGTTTGCAAACTCAAACAACGGCTTCATCGGCTCAAAAGATTGTTGATAATTAAGAAAATTTGACTTTCTGGTGAAGTGGTTTTGAGTGCAATACTAAAGAAGATGGAACCACGGACCCAGTGTATCTGGAAGTTGTGGCTACAGCAAGTCGTAACTTGGCGTAGGCGAGGAAAGGAAGAAAAGCAGGTCTGTGGTTCAAACTGTTGGGGATCCACGATACCCCCAAGATTGTTCATCGTTGGTTTTTGGCACTATATACACTAATTCGACGAAGGTACCACACAACAGACATCTCAAACAGTTCGTGCGCTGCCGGTTTCGGATAACACACTACGGCAGGATATCCGTTGCGTCTAAGGCAAACGGCCAAAACGCCCCCCCCCCCACCGGAGAGCTTCAACAGTTTATCCAGGGACGCGATTCCTCCGCGTTATAGACGACTTCTTGATGTTTGGAGAACGCGTTGTGGTGCCCAATTCACTGCGCTTGCGGGTTCTTCGTCAATTTCATACAGACCATCCCGGCATTGTTCGCATGAAGTCTATCGCCCGTAGCTACGCTTACTGGCCAAATATGGATCAGCAAATCGCAGACCTAATCAAGAGTTGTCGCCAATGCCAGCAGGCCACCAATAACCCTCCCAAGGTTCCTTCAGTCCCTTGGCCACAACCACAAAAACCCTGGTCACGCATCCATATCGACTTTGAGGGACCGATCAATGGAGTCTCGTACCTTGTGCTGGTTAACGCCTACTCAAAATGACCGGAAATCGTCCCAATGACTTCCCCCACAACACCGAAGACACTAAAGGCTCTGTCCCAGATTTTCAACCGCCATGGGATTCCGGAAACCATTGTCTCAGACAACGGATCACAGTTCACATCTCGACAATTCAAGGATTTCTGTCGACAGCATTACTGTTACACACATGCATTCCCCACCCTAAAACCCAGAGTCAGACGTACAGGCGGAAAGGTTCGTCGACACATTGAAGCGAACCCTGCTAAAATCCCGTGGGAAAGGAACGACGTCCGTCGAAGGTCTACAGAATTTTCTGTTGGTGCATCGTACAACACCAAACGAGGCCCCTCCAAACCGACAGTCTCCATCTGAGGCACTCATGGGTCGCAAATTGCGGACAACAAATTCCGCTATTACTTAGGGAAAAGACAACCGCCTGGAGTATTCGAGTACGAAATCTACCACTTCATTTGAGATTGGAACGGCTGTGTACTTTTGAAACTATCGACCAAGGCACGACCCATGGATTAAGGGGATGATTGCACGCCGACACGACAAGGTCATGTTCGACGTGACGATGGGTCACGACACGTGATCAAGGCACCGCAACTAACTCCGACTGGGAAAAGAATCTGCGACACCAAATCGCCAGACCAGCGTCCCATAGGATGTGGTTTTCGACGCTTTCCAGCTGCCGCCACCGATAGCAACGCTAGTGAAAACGAACAGAGACAGGTCTTTACCCCCAAGGCAGAGTAGTACAAAACGGCGGAAACCAACACTACTCCAAGTCGACCCAAAGAATAAGCGTTACTAGCTTTTCAAGGAAAAGAGGTGTTGAGGATCCACGATTCCTCAAGATTGCTCGTAGTTGGTTTCTGGCACTATTTACACTAATTCCTTAACATGTGTTTTACTACGTTTTTTATTAGGTCAAGGACAACCTTGACTTAAATTAGTTTCACTTTTGACAACTCACTCCGCACGTGGCGGGCGTGATCAAGACTCTTTACACGAGCTCTGGTCTTGTTCTTGTATTAGCGTGGGAAGGTCGGTGCTAGCGTCAACAAGGAATCCAGTACCCTTATTAGAGTGGTTTTCTCTGTTACGGGCAAACGTAACACAAACATACAGCACAATTCCTCATCAAGAGCTGTTAGCGAAGCGTCATTCCGATCCATGGCCGACTGCGACTCGTACCCCATTGCCATCGGGGTGGGGGCAACCTGGGTTGGTGCCACCGAAACCCTTCGCCCAGTTGCATCTCCTCCTCCTCCTCCCCCACCACCACTCACTGTCGACTGAAGAGGTTGGTGCGCAGGTCTGTCCTCAATTTTGAGACCAACCATCGTAGCCACATCGGTTGGTGCATACGACAGCTGGCCCACGCTATTTGTAGTTGCGTTTATGAGGGCTTGAGCAGCGGCAATCGTTGGCTCATGGCGCCGGCGACCGCGCTTCATTGATGAGGCAGAAGTCATTGCAGAAGTATTCGAGACAGTGCGCTTTCGGGAAAGTAGCAGAGCATCCTGCTGTTCCTGGCCGCCATAGTTCTGCAGATTGGTGGCCGCGTATTCCTGCGGCTGCCGAGGATGAGCGAGGAGGTGGCTTTCGTAAGAGGACACGAGGTTAGTTAGATGACGGTGGCTGAGGGGTCCGTTTCCGCGTGAACCATTGGGATCTACTAAGGGGTTCTAGGAAAAATGTAATAGGCATAGACAACATAGCTACTCTGATTCTTAGTGGCACATCATAGTCCAAATATACTCGATTACTCAAACCGCCTATTGGGCGGTAAGTTGACAAAATTTGAACAGAACTGTTTATGCGTTCACGTGCGCTCAACAACGTCCACATGGGGCCGAATGACCTCCTAGGCTAGAAACAAGGAGGATTTAGCTTCCCACATCGGCATTTTGAGGGCGCACTAGGAACTTCGCTTGTTTTAGAATCGCGGCATGCAGTGGGTAGGCAACCCAACTGACAAAAATGGCCATATCGGAATGTCTAAAGTTACGCTTAAGATCAGTTTAAGTGTTGACAACCACAACCCGGCTGTGTAAGGTCTGAAAACATTTGGCAACGGTTCCAGCCTTGCATAACAGCAGAAGGGTCTGGTTTTGGAGTGCAAAAAAACACAATTTCGCAGACAGCACTTACTGCCGACTAGCAGTTTCTGTGTGGCTTTCTCCGCACGTGTTGTCTCCAAAAGAGTTTTGCTTTAACTACGAAATTGAAATAACGTCGAAGTTGAGCGCCCAACCAAACACCCACCAGCTTAATGGTTGGTAGATTTGACCACAAGAAGGCTTTTCGAATAACAAGTCCCTTTTGGTGGCATCAACTTAGAAGCGTACAACACGTACAAAAAGAAACCGCATTCAGTGTGAAGTTCAAATTAAAATTTGCCAATTTCATTGTTTCACCCCATACATAGGCGAGATGCGCGCACATAGTTCTAAATTTAGCAACGCGCGCAGTGTGCTTGCACGGCGTCTACCAATCGTATTTCGATGTGTACATTTTGCCTGCCCATGATTCATACGCGTCTAGCTAGGTGAAGAGGGTGGAGAATGAGTCACGCTCGTGTGATTCACTTTGCGTCGACAGTTGTCCGGATGGGGTGGTTGGTGGAGGAATTGTTACCACAATATGGCCACGCGTACACGTGAAGAGCTGCGGTACCAACTCGCACACGCGAGATATCCAGCCGCTGCTTCCAATACGGTGAAAGTTGAACTTCACCCGGGCGTTAGCAGCGCCCGACATCTGGCCAGCCACCATGGATTTGTGGTTTTCGTTGTTTCAAACACTTGTAATTCATCTGTGGGTCAAAATACTACTTGTGGTAGTATTTTGCCGATAAGACGCTGCCTATGAGTTCGACAATTGTCTTGTTTTCGATTTTGTAAACAATAGAAAGGCCACATTAACACGACAGCATGGGTTGTTTTTGTCATCCGGGATTTAAGCTCTCCCGAACTGGTTCCACCCGCATTCCCGAATCACATGCACGTCAATTGTCCAAACATTTGAGGGGTAGATACTCCCCATCTCAGCGGGGTTTTGGCTGAGCCTTCAAAAGGGGGGAAGGGGTATCGGCACCCCGAGCTGTTCAATGTGCCCGCTTATTGGACGCGCGGGGAGCTTAAGGGTTTTTCGCAGGCCACTTTTTGTTAATTTGGAGCTCGGGACTGCGAAACTGAAGTTTTTTCGTCAAAACGATTTAGTTAGCCAAAAGCCTAAAATTAAAGGTTGTCATGCTTAGAATGCAGTGACCCGAAAAACGGCACTTAGGTCCATGCATACAAATGAACACATTACGGTAGCGTCCCAAAGTAGGAGTGGGAATACTAGCTCACGAAACTTCCCGTCTCTAGACTATCACACTTATCGTAATGACAATGAAACAACACAATCACATAGGAAGTGACCTGCTGGTAGGGAGGACGAGATTGTTAAAATAGTAAGACTTAGAGGCAAACTACACGTCAGATCGATATGGTTGTCCTGACTTCTCCATCGTGGGTGATCTAGGGGAAAGGTTATACCGAACAACAGACTCACCTGATCAGTCGAGTTATGAAAGAGTTGGAGGAATCCGTCGGTAGTGGGATTGACAATCACCTGGCCTGTCACAGCGGCAGACAGATCAGCCAATGTGGGCATGGCACCGACCGAAGTTGGAGTGACTGCGTCCTCCGAACTAACCAGCATGTCAGTTAAACCTACAGATGTGTAGCCGTTTCCCCCACCACCGCCGCCGCCACCACCATCACCAATGTCAGTCCTCAAGGGGGGAAGAGAAAGACTGGGATATCGGCTAGGCGTGTACCGATTTCCATTGACCGAGTTGTCAAGGGAGGGTGATGCGGGGGACGTGGAGTCACCGGTCGTGGAGGGAGGAGAGCCGACACCTTCATGCGCTCTAAGATTGTGAAGAACGGCTGCGACGGCGGCACTCGAGCAGAGACTGGAAGTTGGTGCCACGGAGAAGGGATTGTGGATTGTGGCGACGTTTGAAAGCATTGCTGAACTCTCACTCACAGCGGAGGAGGCAACGACACTGTCAACATCGTCCTCACTAAAAAGTAAAGTGCAAAAAGGTGAAAACTCTTAAAATTGTCAGACATAGTCAGCTGTGGTGAAAGTACCAGTGACGTCATGTGAGAAAAAAGAGCTGAACCTACATCCAATTTAGAGCCAAAAAGTGACCTGATTGTACTTGAAGTACTGGTCGTTTTCAAGAGTCTAGTTCCTGGAAATTCAGACAAACTGAAGAATCGAAAACGAAACACAGAAATGACGAGAATACAATGGTATGAATAGGGATTGACAAAGACTATTGTGGGTTGATACATCAACCGGTTTGCCGTTGCCGACGACAGACATTAACGCAGAAAGAGGCGTGAGAATTGAAGTGCACATAAGACTGATTCAGCACACGAATCAAAACAGCTAGAATGCACAAAAGTATAACCACACACCCGAACTTTAGAATTTTTTTAATCGACACGAATTTGGTACGCACTATAAAGCACCAATATTGCTTAATCCCAGGGGCTTCAAGTGTCTTGTTATCTCGACTTGAAAATAAACACCCGTAAAATTAGGATAGGCATTTAAAAGTGGCGCATTCGCTGCGTAACGGACAAAATGCTGGAGAAACAACTGTCTAATTTTCATAGCACAGAGGGGAAAGAAAAAGCTGTGAACACGAGTGGAAAAAGGTGCAGTCATGCTGAAAGTAGCGGTTCCCAAACGCTGCTACCAGCTTCTTAGAAAAAAGATACTCTGTTCAACTTCATAAAGTGAGAGAGATCAAGCGAAGTAGCATATACAGTGGCCAGGCTTTGGTGTTCATGGTTATCGTAAACTAAAATAACTACGAAAAGAATCTAATGAACATGGACTTGCGTCATACGAAATTGGCCAACATGAAAGAATAAAACGAATTTTAAGAAAACTAGTGAGTTACGTCATGAGGGATTTGACTTGAGGGCCTTTAGTCGAACGCGAAAATGCCGTTTGACAGGCTCTGTGGCGAGCAGTAAGCGAAAACACAACTCAGCCGATTTACTCGAATGCACTTCACGTAGCTATGTTCGCTAAGAGGTCGCTGTGTAGCAAGGCAACATAAATTGAGCTGTGCACTATCTGCCTTTCCTCGCTTCCTCCGGCTGGGCCGTGTCAGTGTAGATCGTCGGCTTTGGTGTGGTTCCCAAACCGTACCAGAGGCCGCAACAGCTCTTCTAGAGGGCAATCTGAACTTCCCGAATGGGGGTGGCACATAGCACTATTTTACAATTAACAGAAATTCAGCAATCGAAAAGCTCATAGACGAGCACTCACGCACATCAAACGGGTTTGAGTGTCACCTCAAAGAGAAAAGGCGACGTGACAACGCGCATTAGAAATAATAAAAGCGTCAAACTGTTAAGCTCATCGCAGTCCAATGGCAAGAAAATACCACAGCACCGTGTGACAGCGGAGTAGTAAGCCATTAACCATTTACGTTTGTTCATAACTGCAGCCCTTATTCGAAATCTCGAAACAAGCACATTAACTGGCAATATACGCAGTGGGCTGTGGTGTTTTGAGACTAAAATTACTTGTGAGTTCGAGGAGCTCAGGAAATTGGAGCATGTGGATGAGCTGTCAATACTCGGAGAGAAGTCAACGTGCACGGCAGATGGTTGTAAGGTCAACCTCGTGTTACGTCAATGCAAGAAGTCGCGAGTCAGCGGCGGTGTGCAGACTTGATGGATGATGGTCCATTCGGCACCCGCAGCGCGAGTGCAAAAATTAATAAATTACGGTCGTGGCGGAGGAAGCAATAAACCCACGCATCAGGGTCGTTAAACCGATCCTTGGGGGAGAGAGAAGGACTGTTGATTTATGCTAACGAGGGTGTTTGGGGAAAGGGAGCGGCCAGACATGCGCACAATGATAAACCGGACAGTCCACAGGAATGCCAACGATACGGTTGACCTGATATTCCATGAAGCGTTCGTAGAACAAACAAAATCTCTCCCACAGCAATAGCAATCTGAAGCAAGTGATTATCCACCGAAACCGACTTTAATCAGCATATTAGAATGCATAAATTGGAAGGCTATGATGTTACATATTAGTAATTGATTACGGAAAAGCAAAGTGACACCAATAGAAGCCGAAAAGGAAGGTCAAGCCAAAGCAATCAGCATCAAGGTGAGCGTGGAGTGGACCGACACAGAGTACTAAACAAATGTCGGGATGGTGGATCTACAGTGGGAAGAGCAGTCCGACAAGCTAGTTTCAATAAGCGCTGAATTGGTGTTCAATGGTAATTAAGGAGAAGTAACGAATAACGTGTACTTTCGATGACCAAAATAAACTACAACGAATAGAGCCGAATGTAGAAAAAAATTGAAGGATCTTGATTACTTGCCACAAAAATGGCTTTAAGTACGAAGCAAAGCAGAGCAGTTTTCTGAACGAACCTTACCTACTACAACAGAACTGACGGACGTCAGAAGTATGTACAATTTGAAAAAAAAGAAGTAGCGGTGGGATAAACAGAATAAATGTAAGCAGCAAGTCAAGTATTAAACCCGAAAGCGCACCTGTCGGCGATTGATTTCACCTCACAGTTCAACTAAATTTGAGATAACAACAGAACATTGATATAAATGAAAAGCAGACATTCCTGCCCGCAATAAAGCCGACAGGTCTAAAAAATGAAGTCAGCAGACTGACAGATAACATCCACGGTAGAGAGAAGGTAAAAGAGAAACCATGCGTTAAATGACATGACGAAAAAGGCAAGAGACCGACAAATGCGAAACACGTTACTATGGACGTACCATAATTTGATCCGGATAGAGGATGTTGAGGGAGGTGTATGAGTGGGTGATGTGGCTGTACGTTCCGCAGGAGCAAAACCAGGCGAGGTGTTGGACGAAGGGCGGTGCTGGAGACGGATTTCCTCGGCGAGAGGGCCTTCTCTTTCATTCTTTATTTTGTCGATGGTTTGCGTCAGTTGCCTACCGGGTGCGCAAAACAAAATGAAAGTTAATCTGTGCTGAAGAGACCGTCCCTGAACATTCCTTCATCATTTTAGCCTTTCAGTGAACCCTCTGACGCAAGGAAATGCATCAACTCAGAATTAATTTGTTTAAGAGGGTTCCGTAATCCGACAGATATAGGATGGCAGAAACGAGCACGAATATAACCGTGATAATGCAGACTAAATCGGGAACAATTGCTTGGCACGAAGGTAACAAAATAGCAAGAACGACGAAAGATCGGCTCAAATTACGGGAAACGGACACTGGTGAGATAATTCCTACCATGAATTTAAATATAGAACACCCGGTTTTCATTGGGAACAAATACCTAAACCAGTAGTAGTTAAAGCGTCTTGCCAGCATAAAAATGTCGCTCTAATGAGTCTTCCCTCATATATAAACACAATACGTGAGAGTGACTTTGGATCGAAGTACAGAAACAATACAAAGATGTGAAAAACGATTAACGGTGCTTAAAACAAGATGTCAAAAATGAACGAGACAACGCTGGTAAAGATACTACTGAATATGACGTATTCAACTGAGGAATTACTCGGCAAATTGTTCCTGCTCAGCAGTGATTTCTTTTGGATTCAGGAAACTCGTAGGAGTAATCGGAGTCGAACCATTATTTCCAAGCTGTCCAATGACCTTATCGCGGTCTTGGTTATCAGTTCTTTTCACGGAGTGATAATTACGAGGAACCTGGTGAGACTTGATATCAGCGTAATCATCTGCAGCTGCATCAAATCTTAAACTGAGGCTAGATGGTCGTGGTGGCGCCTGATCTTGAATGTCCATACAAAAATGCGACATCATGTGATGGGACACAGATTCGGGAACTTGGACGACTTCGCTCGACAAATAATCGCTGGTCCTACTACCGCCAATCATTAAGTGAACCCGTCACTTAATACCTTAGTGAAATATCGTCGTTCTTCTGCACAAAGCGGAGCGCGCCAAGCAAACAACGAACCAAGAGGGGTGACTCACACAAATAAAGAACACTTTTTTTATAATGCCCATTGGCTCAGCTAATTCAGTCTATAGAGCATTAAAACAACAACAAAGATTTTATGTCTTTGACTCAATAAGGTAATGTAACGCATATTATTAATTAAAACAGTTAAAAAACCCAACTATTAAAAAGGAAACTAGGAAATTGCAAACGGGGGTTAAAATCTAAATCAAAAGTCAAGTGAAACAACTTGATTGCGCAGTTTCAGCAGCAACATCATAAGTAGCTGTGTTGTACTGTGTTTTTGTCATACCATAATTGTATACGATTAAAGTTAATAATACGGCTGTTTTAAATTTCTATACTGTCATGTGGAAGTCTGCTTGGTCACTAAAAGTGTGGTCACGGTCTTTTAAAAGGTTAGTCCGAAAGAGAACAATTCAGGTGATTTATCATTGCACAAACAGTGAGATTATTCAAAAGCGGTTGTTTGCTTTATTTTTGCAAGCATGTATATTTGCACGCCAGAATTTTCGTAATTGAACTGTATCATTTTCAAACCTCTATCAATTTTTTTCAACTTAAGGATATATATTTACTGAAAAATAGATTAAGTTCACCCAGTTTCCTTCAGAATTCCCAATATTTTAAACAAGGTTTATATTGCCTTGTTATTGTAATTTTGCACAATCTATCTTGCCTAGTTCGCTTAGCTAGTCTAGGGAAAAATTTACAGGTGTCAATATTACGAATCGATTTCAAATTACATTACCAATATATATGATAAGATGGCATATGCAGTTCTTGCACATCACGCAATTAACCCTAATACATGGTCTGGTAGGTTGTCACTGGTTAATAATCGGCAATCGATTGGTGCACCGAAATTGAGGCCACTAAATAGCGCTTAAACGGTTCTCATTACTGCAGCGTAAGCACAAGTACTTAGTGTATGCCGACATGGGTACAATTATACAGCACTGCCAAATTCAATGCTGGGAAAGCCTACAAGGTCGCGGCTTATCCGGATTCCCTTTGGATATGAACAGCGTAGTTCGGGGGATCGCTACAGCAATCGAAGCTGACTTTAAATAGCAGAGTAACCTTTATTACAAAAAATCCGTTACTTCCCGAATGTCGAGAACTAGAACCACTTAAAGCAAACGTGGAGGATGCATATATCGAGTAAAATATGTGTAGGAGTATTCACACATATCTTAAAAAGTAATCATCTACATCAATGAGACAGACGAAAAGAAACAAGATCAGTAAAAGGGCAAATTATAAACCAGAAAGGAGTTGAAAGAACAATAAATTAGCACACAATATCAAAGACCCTCAGGAAAAATTATTCAGGCGCGAGTAAATATACTCTCGAAATGGGTAATACAGAGCTGCGTGAAGGAGACAATGAGGCCTTGGGTAGTTGACGAGGGAATTACAATCTGATGACGGGACCAGATGAGACTCGGCGCCAGAGCTACAGACAAGTTGGCAGCTGTCATCATATTCTTCGAAGAGTGCTCCAGGATCTATACACCAGGCATTAAAGAACCAAATAATGCTCCAAACAGTGTCGACATTGCATTAAGCCAATGCAAAATTGCCAGGTTATTCCGGGAGGTGATTGTCAAGGCGTTTTTTTAACCTAATTGCGCCGTAGGGGTGTGGTATAATTGAGAATTAAAAATAGAACCAAAACTAAACCAACTAAATATTGACAACCCAACTAAAGGGTTCTTAATCTTACGATCACGCAAAAAGGGCCATCTGGTATCCGGTCAGCGACCTTGAAATAGGACGGATTCATAGCTGACACGAAACGCTTTAACCAGATGTTGACACATTGCTCCCCCTAGAGGCTAGACCAAATATGGAGAGACAACCGTTGTCAAATTCAGCAGCCCCCAACATAAAGAAGGGGTACACATAGGGCTACAAAAGGTGAGAGTGGAAATTTTGGACGAAAGAAGTTGAGTGACAAGTCATCCCCTAACACGGACATCACTACTCTAATGTGGGTCAATTACGTGGACGTAGGACATGAATGCGCATGTCAATATGACCTATTGTAAACACACACACACCTTCGTCAAGTTCTCGAATAAACGATTGACTCTCCGTCCTTCCACCGACTTCAGCGTTGTTGGGCAGTTAGTTATATATGGCGCTTCAACATCTTCAAACATTCATTCTTGTGTCCTACGTGTCGCGACTGAGAGAGGATAGAAGGCACACATTCCTTTCAAGGCACCCCCGTTCCCACTTAATCTGGAGTCCTTCACGGGAGTTCACTTTTAAATTAGGCGTGCTTCCATTTACATGCCTTTAACTTTATCCACAATTAAGACAAGAATTAGTAGTAGCCAATAAATGTATAAAAGTTTGGGCCTTTCGGAACACAAGTATGTTAAATGCCACTAGTTTGGAAAATAAATTTACGAAATAAATCGGCTTTATAAGTGGCCAATTGAAGGACTAACCTCAGTCAGAAACTTGAATATGTAAAATAGAATATCGTAGTTGTCTCTTGGAAGGAGCACGGTCAGCAGGTGCCTGATGGCATTTACGCGGTTCCGCGACATTCGACCTGGGGAGGACGAAAATGGAGAAGTCAAAAGCGATACCACTTACTAAGTATTAGCATTTAACGAGCAAAATTAGAAAAGCGAAACTGTGCACTAAATTGCAGTGAGTTAGAGAAGAGTGTGTGAAGCGTCTCGCTTAAACTGAAAAAAAGTAGTCATCGAGCACAGCACTACACGAACGCTACTAATTTTAGGCGTCCAAAGACGTTTTCAGTTAACCCGACAAGTGGTTTAGAGGTAAAGTTAAGGGCCATAAGCATTAACGCGGGATTTACAGGTGGAATTATTAATACGGGTCTGACTGAAGCTATATATCTGCACAATGTAGATATAACCCCAACAAATTGACAAGAACGAGGTTGTTAGTTTGTGAGTTGGCCTAGCACAAATGCAGGTGATTGAAACATTACATGCGATCGAAAACTGGTGAAGTGGGAGACCGCTATGAACATGCTCTAGGTTTGTGTTCAAAACACCATAACAAGAGCAGCGTAAAGTCCATGAATACAGCGAAAGACAATTAATGCACTAGAATGATTACATGAAAATGCACAACGGTAAAAGCGGCGTCCTTGCAAAACAATTAGCGGCATTGGAGTGCAAAAAGGTTCGATAATGCGGACAGACATCTTGACACCCTTATTGTAGAACGTGATAAAGAGATGCCACAGGGCTGGGAAAACGCCCCACGAGATGCATGCACGCACACATCGGCAGATTTGGACACAACACTGCTACTGTTACTGTGGGACAAAACGAACTGTTGCAACTTAAGGAAGTACAACCAAAGCGGCCAATAACAGCAAGTTAGCATGCATTAACGGTTACCTCTTCCAGGTCGCAAACAGGGCCTGGTGTTAGGGTAAGTGGGTTTTAGTATCTTCCAGTTCTTACTGCAAGACTTGAGGACGTCGTCGTAGAGGTCGTAAGTCAAGATTGGTTCCTTGAGTTCTTGAAGGAAAGACTTTAAGAGATGCGCGGCCAAATGAGGATCGTCGAATTCACAAAGGTCCACGTATTCGCCTAAAAGTGTCCTAGACAAGTTAGACGGGGACTTGTGCAAGAGCAAGGGGCAATCTACAAAGAAATGACCAACCTTGGTTATACATGGTTTGTACATCGCGCAGAGTGGTTGCATTGGTTGGTTTGATGAAGAGACCGTGTGTATTGAGTCCTAGGAAATCAAATCAGGCAGTACTGTTAACGTGACGCTCATAATTCCACCTACATGACCTATGATAGGCAGTGAGATGGTGGAGGACGCATCGAAAACCTACCATAGCCTCGAAGATAGGTTATGGTGTCTTCAACAACCACAGGGATTTTCCGTCCACCGTTGATGGCCTTGATGCTGCAATAAAAAATGGGCGAGGAGTAATGCAAACAGAAAACTACACTAGGAAGAACAAACCTCTACACAAAAAGCAACTCAAACCAGGACCATAGAGATGTCCTACAAGTCAGCGCGGTGGGGAGGGAGAGCACAAATTTTCTCAAACTACGGAAATTCACAATTCGGTGATGCAAATTACAGGCGTTGGATTGCTCTACGGCGGACGAATACAGAGTAGAACTACAATCTTTTTTGCCGAAGAAGTCAAACTTACTGTTGTAGGGTGGTACCAAACTGCTGGTGTTCGCATAACGGAGCGTCGTCGGCGTCGTGGCCACCGATGATGGATGCGGCTGCCGGATCCATCCGCAGAGGAGCACCGAATGGTCGAATTCTGTTGTCGTAGCTGGGATGGAAGGGGGGGGGAGAAAATGCGAATGAAATTCATGGGGTGGTGGATACACAGACATAGGAAGGACTTCATCCAATCGACACCTCTTACGGTCGCGAAATCGGCTTAAGTGGTAGTTTAAGGTGCTTACCTTGTCACACGGTTGTTAAATTAGTAAAACGCTAATGAAACAATGGCTCAGATATCCATCGCACTATCAGTGGGGATGCATTTGGGAATTTCGGAAAAGGAATTCCGGTTCATCCAGTGACCTAAACGGAATCCTCAGAGGCTCTGAGGTACGAAATAGGGGTGCGGGAGAAAATCGCATTTCAATACAACGAAGTGACACACTGACCGAATATTAATGATTAAACCTGAATATCGAGAATAGCCATGTTCAAGCATTTCGTTGAGGTTTGTGGTACGAAACAGCGCAGTTCACAGCGTTGTGTTCGTGCACGGTCGAGTCCCCCCACCCCCAATTGAAGCATTTCTGTTGCAAACATGACGCATTATTCGGACACACCCATACAATGAGTTATCTTCAATAAAGTTATACAAAGGAACTTTGAGGTAGCTGCGGCCCCAGTTTTATTTACTTACTCGCGAATTCGCAGTGGGAGGTTTAACTGGCGAACCGGGACGTAGGACTCCAACTCACGAAGATTGTTCACGTAGTGCAGCTTCTTGTTCATTTTGACACTGAAATGTGCACAACAAGTTGTTAGCCGGAGCGGAAGTTGGGGCGATTCAAGAATGCAAATGCAATGGGGAAAATGGCAACTGGGTGGCATGTCAAAATCAGACAGGGAACTTAACTGACCAACACACACACACAACTTGGCGATGAAACCAATCGACGCTAATGCCAAAAAGTTTAAGGATGAGCAAAGACTGCTTGCTCAGTAGGTAACACGACGAACCTGCAAGGAAGTTATTCCGAAATCCGCATTCGAATTGCTCAACCTAAGAATGTTGTCGCAGAGGCAATACAAAGTGTATAACCCTACTGCATCAGTACGACACTCAAGCACTTTTAAAGTCTCAATTCAAATGACCTCAAGACCACATATCTCATTTTGAAAGCCTTCTACTGTTTGGTTTAGTAACTTCATATTAAAGTGTCCCAAAAAAGTACAAATGGAATGAAAAAATAACACCATGGGCGGACAAAGCGACGTTTGGGGCATTAACTGCAAAACTGCGCAGGTATTCAGGATTACAAAGAACCTACCTAACAAAAGCAGCGAAAAGGCTCCACAATACACGAACAGTACGGGTTGGATAGACAACGACGAGCGACTTGAGGTTCTTCTTGAAGCTGAAATGGCATTCAAATGATATGATGACATTACCGTTAGAAAGACACGCTCTCAAACACCTGTGGTGTTGGGGTTTTGAAGTTTATTTCCAGTTGAAATCCCATCAACTAGAGAGCTTCCAATTCCGATCAGCTGCAAAGCTTGGAAGGTGGTGAGCATACTCAATACCTCATGCCACGGAGGCAGACAAGGGATGCACGGAGAGTGTCATTAGCAATGGTTACTTTCGAATTGCCGTCGATTAATCTTAAGCTGAGGAGATACGGAACCGCTAACATGAAACAAGTTACCCTAAACACGAAACACCAAAGCTGAAGTTGCGTCTGAGAAAAAACGTGACAGGCCAAGATCCCGGGTAATTTTTGCGTTGTTGCCTTTATCCATTTTCATATTGAGATTGTTGGATTAAGTCGCACGATTGTTGGTTAACAGAAATGCATACTAGCCGCAACTAGCCACTTGACCAAAATATTTCACTACAACCCAACTAGGCGTCAAATTAGGATACTGCCGAATTCGCAAAGGCCCGGCATTGGAAGCTAGTAATTCATTTACTGTATGTGGGTCCATGTGCACGGATAATGTTAGAGTGTAGAGGTCAACCATACCGTGGCACCGCCACACCCTTTAATATCAGAAACAGGGATTAAAAAACTGTAAAGAAAACGTGAAGGTGCAGAGTCGCGCAAATTGTGATTTCGGTGCAGAATTTGTGCACACACCTTCAACATGGGTTAGCACGTGTCGGGAAAAGGTCGTATAAAAATGGGAAGTCCAAAAAACATGATTTGAAATTGCTTAAGCGTGCCGAAACCGTGCCCTTATTTTGAAATGTGCATAAACTACTCATACAGGTTGGCAGAAAGTAGGACAAGCATGGGAATAAGTGGCCAAACACAAAAAAGAGTATCACATGGAGGCCTGGTGGCGTGGCTTTAGAGGATGAACATTCAAGCACCGCGACAAACCAGGTGCGGTGCCAGAAGGACAAACATAATTGGTTAGCAGCAAACTGAATAAAAAGGAGCACATTAAGGGTAGAATCATGTTCTACTGTCACAACAAGGGAATGCATTCAAAAAAGTTTGAACTTTAGCCATGGATACTAAACGCTTAGTGACCCAAGCCACACAAACGTGGATCAATCAAGGGGACAACTGAATTCTAGAGATAAATGTGCTTATCGGGAAAAAATGTAGAAGAAAATAATAGAAGGCTATTTTCGAAAATGCGAACGCACAGAATGATGTCAAGGTTGCTGCTTGAAAGTAATTACAGTGACGAATGCGTCACAAATAGAAGGTGCTAAAACCACTACATTCGAATGATTTTAAGCGATACAGCATACTCCCTCATAGGGAGACGAGAAAATCCAGCTCCCAAGTACTCGTCGTCTAGACACAAAGGACTGCGTACTCCTGAACTTTCAGTCAGGCGTCGGCAGACTGTAAATGACACGAAGCCCTGGAATATTTGCGAACAGGGGGTATTTATTGAAAGTTTCTGCAGCCAAGTTCAAACCATGAGTACTCCAGGTCTGACTCAGCCCAAACTACCATGTGCGCGTGACGCAGAGCTGAGTTGGGTTGCGGCAGCAGCAAAAGAGTCGGAGGTGTGTTCGGGCAGAGAGCATTGTGACGATGACTTTCCCTTTCCCCCCCCCCCCTACGCTAAGGTTAACATCAGCCAATAACACGCCAGGTTGATGGAGTTGGGTACGAGGAAAAAAAACACGAGCTAGGAAGCAACGGGGTTAATCCACTCAAACACGTGGCTGCCTTACCTCCGACCGAAGGTTTGATAGGCCCGCACAAGCCAAGGAAACGCCGGCTTATTCTGACTTGTTAAACCCCAATGGAAGTAGACAAGGGTGTAGAACGATGACACGTACTGCTCCAGCGTCTTTGTCACGTACCTGGAAAAGAGAGGGTGGTGTAGCATAAGTCGAAACCCAGAGCAGAACAACTTCGATTTACACACCGATGAATTTTTCAATAAATTTTGCGTAAATTCTGAGCTTCCGCAGATAGTCTATGTGCCAGTGATCCCAACCAACGCAAATATGAACGTCCAGCAAGTTAGCAAGTGGTTTTAATAAATCTCACAAATGTAAAAAAATATAACAATGTGAGTTTGTCATAAGACATGATCGATAAAACGGTTTTGCTCATAACACAAGAAGGACAACTAGCAAAATTAATGATTGAGAATGAAAATTACGTGTGAATTTATGGTAAGTACAAGAATTTGCAGGCCCCTGTTTCCACTTAATTAAAATTTCCGCTAACGTTGCATGTCGTGGCCAGCAAACATTGATTGTGGCGCAAGACAACACCTAGAAACGTGAGTACTGAAAATGACCGGAGTCACCAGAACTCGAAAACCCTGAGCATGCTAAAGTAGTGGTAATTTGTGAAATTGTTAGTGCGCGACAAGACTGGAAGAGCCTTGTATAGCAGAAAAATACGTCTAACACACGAAGCAAAATACTTTTAAACTACTTTCTAGGAAAAGCATGGTAAGAGTGAAAGCATCCTCATGTAGGAAAAGATCTTAGCTAACAAAGTAAAGTTGCCAAGTCGGTATTGGTGCACAAGTTACACTGATGTCAACCATCAGGATGCCGTGGATCACTTCGTCAAATTCCACAGCCAAGCGCCGACGTAATGACTGAGGTGCTTCCAAAACCAACATCCTCGCACAGCTTCCGTCTTGTCATTACGCCGCGTCACCTCCAACACCGTGTCATTTCGAATAGGGTTAACTCCCAGTGCAAGTCAGAGCCAATGTGAACCGCCGGATACAACTCAAACGCCAACTTTCAGGATCAACTGAAGACAGTTGCACAGCATCCCAACTACATTTACGAAAAGTAATCAGATTTGGACGCTGGTTCCCTATAATGCGCTTTTCAAAAAAGCTGCTTAGTTAGAGGAAGTGTCTTTTAGTGAATACACACCAACAGCATGCTTAGAATCTCGTTTGGTTGCAGTGGCGTGCTGTTAATCGTAAAAAATCCGGCTGCCAATAGCCCTAATTTATAGGATCACACCCGCACCACTTTTATTAATCGTTTGAACGAAATCCTAAATGTAGTCGCAAAACAAAAAAACCCCGGTTTCTAGGACCAAATTTGTTAAGCTAGTGCGTAGCCCACAACAAGCAACTACGACACTTACTGTAGAAGACGATCGTGGTCAATGAGATCGGACGGGGGAAGGCGGCAGGCGAAAAAGGCGATGACCTTCCGCCCGTCGAGGTCGTTGCCACCAACCTGGAGGATGCCAAGCCGAGAAATATCACGAAAGTCCGCGTCGATTACATCTTGGATGCAGAGTTCCTTCAGTGAAGCAAAACAATCAAACCGTATACTCGTGCTGTAGGATTGAAACGTGGCAATGTGTGAATCCCGCCTGCATGCGAGGCGGTTAGAGGCAAAGTAATGCAGCGAGAGCCCAGTCTGGCAGGAGAGGTCGACGTGGTGAATCGTGTTGATTCATATCCATCCACTTTGTCGCCGTTATATACACATCTCGGAACGCCAGTGTTCTCCACAGCCACTTGCCATGAAATAAGTAGCCCACAGCTTGGGTGGGTTGGTTTCGGGCTATGGGAATTCACGACACCGAAAGTGGCCGGATCAAACAAACCATTTAGGGTGCCTTGCGGATTTCCGAGGTACGACCCGAGGTAAATTTTCCGCCAGCACATACCACCATTCAGTCGGAACACAAGATCACGTTGGTTAAAAAATAAAGGCACGCCACCTTGGGAAAATCGTAAACTAGCACAGCAGGGGTGCCAGTTCACGTCCTTTTCGGTTTAATATGGTGCCAGTACACAAAGTATGAGAAAAAACGATGGAATTTTTTTAGGACCAAAGCGTCTAGTAGTACATTGCGTGAAAAAAAACAAATCAGCATAACCGACACTCAGAAGTGTACAAACTAGAGTCAAAAATAAAGTGTACAAAAGACCCAAGCATCAAACTGAGGAGTGCTTTACGTCTTAACATCAATTTCCGACTGCAACACTTGTGCAGTTTAAAGGACTAAATAAGAGTGCGCAAATGGAGCCACTCTCAACACAGCTGTTGTCAGGGGTCATGCCACCAAGACAGTCTGGAATCCTGCCAAGCCAGAGATCAGCACACCTGAGTTTGAGTTGGATGGCACTCAAGGAAAAAGCGTGACCCAAATAAGGGACAGGCACGTAGAAATCACAAGGCACAAATTTGCAGTCCACAGGGATGAAACCAAAGATATCTAATAATACACCACAAGTACAGCTCGTACTTGGAATACACTCACCGCCGACAAGTCCACTCACCCCTCTTTTTAGGCAAAGTGCAAATATTCTTAATCGGACATTTGAGGGCGACACAAATTTACGTGATTTAGCGGATTAGAGGGAGCTAATTTTTAGGCTTGGTGGCAGTAACATCGGCTGACGAAAACCAGGACCTGATGCACTTGGTGGTACCATGCAGTCTCAAGGAAGGAGTTCTTGAACGCGAAAGCAATACCCACATGTTTCAAGGGGGTCGGGTTACCAAAGTCTACCAAAGACCGTGACGACGAAACAGATAAACAAGGATGGGTGTGCAATAAAGCCAAAACCAGAGCAAAACAATGAGGTGAAGTCAACCACAAATTAAAACAACGTTGCATCACCAACTTCTTGCAATCAGTTCGGAAAAACGAAGTGAGGAACTCTAATGCGTGTGAAATTAGCCCTCAAGAGTACGTTGGGGGAAAAAAAAGGCAAGTAAAACGGTGAATGACAATTTACCAAGGTAGAAATAAAATGACATGAGAACAATGAGGCAAGCCGAGTCAGCCGATCAGACCTTAAACACACCCAAATGCATACAAAACACGTGATTGGGGCTTTGCTATTATTATTAATGTCACATGCGACTTTGTGTATTACTCAAATTGTTACAACTTCAATGATTAAGTAGAATTTTAAAAAAAAACAGTTTTTTTGCTGACCCAACGACTTAGCAAATAATGGAAAGTGGTGTTTAGTTTGTTTAATAATGCGATATATTTACATGTGTCTGCAGGGGTTTCCAAACACGAACTGATAGCATTGAAATTGGCGTTAGAACATCTGGAATGCGTTCATAACGTGGTTAAATAGGCTTAACTACGACTGAACTCCTCATCGCATTAAGCTATTTCGTGTTTTAAAAAAACATAAAGTATACTACGGTTAAAATCGTCCGATAGGGACATGTAATGAAAGGACGAATCTGACCAAGGGAACGAACCCCTTAAAAGTTGTGTAAATGAGGTACATCAGTTAGAACGCCAAAAGTGAGCTGATATTTGCATCAGGTTGCTTTTAGTTGAAACCAAAGAAAGGTGTTTAATTTAACACGACCCAAAATGTTTGTAGCAAGAGTAATTATGACAGACGAAATGTTGGTGACTGAATGGTAAATGTTCTGCGCGTGGTGTGTTTGTCACATATTGCGGTGTTTCGTTCGATAACCGCCCAAAAACAAACAAAATGCAGGTCCATTTTTAATGGAAAAACATCGTAATACATTTCATGCCATTTTGATTTAATGACGCCAGAAGGAGATGTTGAAACCGCTCCGTACTTTCGTAACACCAGCTTCTATCACAACCAACAGAAGCCCTACCTACTTGAAAACACAATTGAAACTATTGCAGGATATTGGTTTCAGTTTCAGCTGCTAGCAGACCCACGAATCCATTTCATTGCCCCAAATCAACAACAACAACAAACGTGTCGTGTGATTCACCGTCAATGAGTGCTTGAGGCAGGAAGATGTGATTGGTCAAACCACTGTTTCAATGTTTTCTTGATTAAACAACTCCAACAACATATTTACTAGGAATTGAAAAAAGGAAATCAAGTTGATAAACAGATGAACTAGGTGGGTAGGGATTGGTGTGGTTAAAACAGCACGGGATTTTCCTGGCACTCGCGTCGCCCTTTGTGGTCACAGGCATGAAAAACAATCCATTACACGAATGATCGGCGAACTAGTGTGGTAATTTGTCGAAATTGTTTAGATTAAGTCGGTTTCAACTATTGAGTCGTTTTTCGTTAGGTGAAAAACGAATTGAAGGTTAGTAAAAGAAATGTCAGGCAGTGGTACTCCTACAGCGAATTAAGCATATTATGCCCCGAGTTCGCAAAATGGGCACTTGATCTAAGCATACTTGTAAATACCAGGAACAAGATGGACTTTGGCAAACATAAACGTACGGATTCAGTGGTTTGAGTTAAATAGCCTGCTCAAGATGCTTTCACTTTTACTACAACTGTAGTGAGGACCGTGATTCCACGCTTACATGGATAACCAGGCGGCAAGTACCGGGACAGTACATTCGTATCGACACCTCCATTTCCGCCCGCGTCACACTGCTTCTAATTCTTCACACCAACTCTCGCTGTCATAACCTACACTGACTCCACCTCTTTCAGTTTCACACAATTGCACTTAACATATTTCCGAGAATTTTAAATAGGCGTGACAGTCGGGTCTCCAACACTGCAGGTCTTCCTTTTTATTAGGTACTTCGTGCAGGATCTTGTCTCAATAAAAAAAAAGCTGCGTTGTGGGCAATTCCAGCAGACAATGACTAGAAGCGTTATCTCCAATCAGAGTCTAGTTTTACTGCACTGGGCCAGAAATATAGAAAGAAGGATCATAATCCAACGGTGCAGTCTAGAGCTAACCAAATTGCAAAGCATGTTTACAACATTACTTTTCGTTTGTGTATGAAAAATCTTCAGCACATTGGAAGGCTGAAAGTAGTGACACTAACTGATGGCACAAAGCTTTAGGTGATGATTCGTAGACCACGAAACTGTCATCATGATTACCTAAATATGACGCTACCTAGGCGACGTGCCTGAATTGACCGTAAAAGAAAGTATTGAGCAGATAATTTGTTAAGATAGAGCGATAGCAAATTAAAAGCCTCATGGGAGGTAGATGCTGAGACCGAAGTGGCGTCAACACGACTACCGATTCAGGGTAACCAATCACGCGTAAACAATGCAGTAAATTACAAGAAGCCAAAACTCTAGAGTGCTCAATTCGCCCAATCAGCCATCCTCATCTGGCAGTCTAGGTGAATTGCAACAGAGAGACTAATAGTTACATTATGAACTAGATCGCCGAAAACGTTATTACTTGAAAAACCGTCTAAAACCCCCAAAGTTCTACTGAATCGATACTCCATAGTCGATAACAAAGTTGGTGAGAATGACAACTGATTACGGGAATATAGCTCATTAAAGCAGTCTCAGTAATGAAGTGGAAACAAGAACCAAGTACATGCGGAAATGCTCGAGGGAGCTAACGGGGTGTCAAAACAGATTTGGACAAAGTGGTGATCCATCACTAATACATATTTACTCAGTAGTGCTGGGGATCCTTCAAAGGACGCATTGAGTCACCAACTACAGGGTGTTTTAAGAGCTATGTGCACAGGGATAACTAAACTTTCCTCGGCTTCTATCTAGATTGAATTGGACTGACAAAACTGTGCGCTGACTTCAAGATTCCTCAAACCTGTGCCTTAGCCAACACCAAAGCGTCCCACTATATATATGTAAACTTCAGGCAAACCTGGGCAGTAGTGCGAACCACAGGCAAGATTAAGCCCGCTACAGAAGCACAGATCGTGTAGAAGATCGGGCTAAATTTCGGTTAAGGAATTTATCACCAGGTTCACACGCAAAGTCAGGCTCAGAGGGTCATTGATGAAATCCTCCTAATTTCCACCTCCATTCTCATATTAACAGTTAAAAGCCAAATTTAAGGCACATAAAATGGATACTAAGGGTGCTAGATGGCAAAACCGCTGCGAAAATTACCATTCGGGAGTACTAAATTTAAACCTTGAAACCTTTCGTGCATCCTCTGATGCTACAAGTTGCTTCCAACTTGTGGTGACTTGCGACGTCAGTTACAACCGCACCAGCACGTGACAGCCACCACACCAAAGCAATTCAACCAGCTGCAGTGTCGATGTTCACGCTATTAAAGTAGGGCAAGGAAGAATGTCTGTAATGTGGAACGGAAAACCTTATTTAACGGTGCCATTTCTAAAATAACTGTGCACTGATTTAGTGTCTAACGTAAGTTAAAACAAGGGTCAGAATTAAAGCTTGTTACAAACTAGCCCCGTATTTAGCGCGATTGGCTTAACGAATGCCACTAGCTCAGCAGACTACGACGATGTCAAACCACTTTGAATTAGGCGGTGTAAAGTCAACAATGAGGCCAAAACGGGGGAATTAACACGTGATACTCAAACAAGGGAAGTCGTGTTGACTGAAGGAAGCCGAAGTAGTATGCTAGCAGCTATTTTTATTTTCTCTAATCGAGCTACCTGGATGCCGGATGTTCACATTTAAACGCAGAGAAAAAGGACAGGAGTATGGGGTATTTCTGCTAATTGTCTTTCGGCAAAAACCAATTGCAAACATGTTGAAAAACTACCCGCGTATTCCGAAGTTAATGTAGGTTTAGCACATTTTCATAGCTAACGTGCAGGAAATAAGGCCAGTCCTAGACCAAAGACAAGTGGTGTTGAATGCGGAATCACTAGTCTTTTGCAAACATACCTTTTCGGACCATCCCAATTCATGTTCAAAGTCCTCGTCGATAAAACCGTCGGGTGTTATTCTACCGTGAATGAGGTCATCATTATCTGAAAGGAAAACACCTACTATAAAATGCGTCGACTGCTACGTAGCCTTCACAAGCATAGACCAAAAGCATGTGCGGGGAGAATGGGGTTGTGCATGTTTGACAAAACTACGAAAAAGGAAAGAGAACAGCTTACTTAAGAAAGTGTGTGGAGGTGCTACACCTACTAAGAGGAGCAAACATTGGGGATATCAGTTATAGCTCGAGTAAACTTGAATTCAATTTGCTTAAAGATTCCGATTTAAGAATGTTAAATTAATTGAGAGAACGCTATAACCGCAAAGCTAGCTTGAACGTGGAATAAGCTACCTGAAGTTTAAAAAGTGTGTCTTGAAAAATTAGACAAGGACTTTCAAGAGAGGCGGAGCCATTCTGACAGGATCTAAGGGTTAAGTTGCATAGAGAAGCAGAAACACAGTTAGTGTGCATCCAAGCCAAATTCAAACACCCTGTGAAATAGCAATCACGAGGAAAGCATAAGGAAATTGAGCAACATTGGTTCCATTGGGATTATTAAAGCAGACCTTGCGGCTGACACAGAGTAATTAAGATTTAGGCCAACTTAGAAATCTCTTAGAGACGAATTCAATTGCATTTTTTGTTCGAATAAACCGAAAGCATGCAGTTTCTAGGAGTGTTAATGAAAACGGATTCCATGAGTTAATCAGGGAGACTAAAACTTAATATTAAATACTGCAGGCGGGTGTTTGGAGTATGCTGTTTCAAAAGTGTCTGTTATAGTGCAAGCAATTAACAAAACAACGGCGAAGTACACCGAGAAGTGACGAGAATATCATATTTCTGAAGCTACATCTAGTGTGGTGTACATTACGCGATGAAGGCACGAAATAACACAAGTACAAATGTTCAATAATTACGAAAAGACGACGAAGATGGCATGAAGTGAAACTAGAAAGGGATCGACAGAATTACAATCTAAAAACGATTACGGCAACATACCCTCTATATCCAGAAACGCGTCATCTACAGAGACGGAGATAAATAAAACAAAACTTCAACTGAAGTCGTCTTAACGTTGGCATCCAACACACATAATGAAAACAGTCCGGAACATCTATTATTTAAAACGTAAGAGAAATCGTAAATCTTTGGGATATTGTTAGGTATTTCCATAAGCGTACTAACTCGACACTCAAGAAATTGCCTTCTGTTCCTATAGTAGGGCAAAAGGACAGCCAGGAACATAAACAGGACTGCAAAATTTCGACGACACAAGTCGAGCACAGTTTAAAGGATTTAGACTGGAAGTTAGATTACGATCTTTGAGGGCAACTGACGGGTGAAGAGTGCTAAAAAGCTCAACTTTTCGACATGATCAAAAAGTACTTACCTAAATCCCCCTGAAGATCCAGATGCTCGTCATCAAATTCGAATTCCGGAACCTCAAACTCGTGCGTAGTCGTCTCAGGGGCTTCACTGTCAGAAGAGCGAATGACCTTTTCGACTTTAGTTTGGCTAAATCGCCAAAATGGTGGTCTTGTTATATTTGCAACTTCAGTTTTCTCACCAGATGTTTCTGAATCAGGAATATCGATTTCTCCAACGGTGCTAGTAACGGCAGGGTCTGATTCTACGGGTTCCATTTTAACACCAGAATCAGGGGTGCATTTAGTCACCCTAGGCAGATGTACAGGCGACTGGGCTTGCAGAGACTAGGAAAGTATAAAAAGTGAGTCGCACGAAGTAAGAATGACAAATAAGAAAAGAAACCTATTTAGGAGAAAAACTTTATTCGAACAAAATGTTTATAACCATATCACAGAGCCTGTGATAGAATTTTCTGTACATTTTTAAGACGTTCTGCCGAAAGTGTAAGTCCAACAGTTTCCTTATATACATTCTGCTCATATGGAAGGCCAGCAGATATTTGACTGAGGTAGTTTAGATGGTAATTTAATTCAAGCTCTACTTCACAAAGCGCATTCCTGAAATTACGCGAATGAACTTCAATTTGCTTTTGAGACGGCATATCTTTTGACAGTTCGTCCAGAGTTGCTCCAGCAGACTGCATAATTTCCATCACCCTGGCTTCAAGTTCATCCAATTTTTTGAGTCGTTCTTTTAAATTTGACTGTGTCTGGCTAGAATCGCTGAAACCCATCACCACATTAAAGGATAATTGAATTAAGCTGGTGCCTGCTATTGGGTGCACTAAATAGGTCGTGGTACGAATAAACTAAATCCTACTTTAACCTTGAATTTGTGTGATCATATAAATTTAATTCTTAAAAAATCTGTCATAAAACACAAATTATAAAAGATGCTAAAAGAAAGATTAAAGGCTCTAAGGCAATAATTATTCTACTCAGAATACCATGAAACAGATGGCATTTTGATGCTACCTAATCATAAAACAAAACAAAAACTGCAAGTCTTGAAAACTTGTTACGACATTGCGTTAATATGCATCCTGCTTACCACTCATTTTAAATAAAAAATATCTTAGAGTGCTAATACTTGCGTAAATTTCTTATACTTTTTACCTCAATAACCAAAAAATGCTTCCACCCAATGAAATGATTATCGTATGTGTCGTTTAAGTGCATATGTGTCCAACAGACATTTACTTGAGTCAAACTCAAAGCGATAGACACATGTATCTCCTTCTTGGAAAAGCAAACTTTCTACAATTTCTCTAGTCTTTTTATACGTACAGATGTGGTTTATGCCAGAAGTTTCTGACTTGACAAACAGTTTGAACTCTTTGCCTTTGTACTTATTCGATTATATGACTTAATTAGCACCAGCAGCAATGTTAGCCGAATCAGACTTTTAATATTTGCTGACTGTGTTTTGAATCCCAACTGTGTGCCTGTAACATTTGGGCGTTATTCGCCTGCCTCAAATTCAGGTGCCATTATCCCGATATAATTAGGTTGCCTGCAAGTCGAAATTGCAAGTTTGTCAGTCTGTCTTTTACCGAACACAACATTGATCAGACGCTTAAAATACTTTAAAAGTTTTTTGTATGTTTCGGTATTTTCTTCACTTTGATGGGGATGTGGCCATAGGCATTCCCATTGTTAGGGCCCCTGAGCTTATTCTTATATTTGAGAAATACCATCGACCCTTTCTACGCGCGATTACCCAAAGGAAAACATTGGTACAGACTATGATGAATGCCCTATCAAAATGACGGTAGCTAAGTATATGTACTAAGCGTCACCTCAGCTTCGGTTATTTTCTGAGGTTCGTTAACACGATGTAATCCTTCCAAAATAAATGCCTGTCGCGATCATTGAGCAGACGATGTTGGGAAGCGTGAGTGGGCTCGGATTCATTCGATCATCCTGCGTGCACCTTACGTCTCGATGTCAAGCCATCCTAGTGATGTTCACGCTTTACCACGCTGCTGACATAATTACCGAGCCCTCGTTGTAATAATAAATCGGTCGAGGTCCAGGTTATCTACAGTCTTTATCTTTGCGCCGAGCCTTGTCAGTGTGGGTTGCTTGGCCCTAGTGCTGTTTGGAAATACTCCGGGGTTTTACATGACATTAAAAAGGTACAATCGACTTTTATGGCTATTGGACTCACATCACCAGTTCTCAAACCCTTAACGATAGTTCAAGCCCCATAAATTGCTACTAGCGCCGCGCAACAACTAAATAATTCAGTATTTGTATTAATTTAATTAAAGAAGGCGACTAAATACTGAAGTATAAAATGCTTGTGAACTAGAATGTATGGATGCGTCATATATTTTGCTAACAGTCTTTACAAAATTTGGCTTCCTTAAACAGCTTCCACTTCACATGATTAGGGTCATAAATAACATTCATGGCTAAGACGAAGGTAGTATATGCCATCACTTTCGGTTGGGTTTGAGATTTTTACAAGCTTAACAATTAAAGACATTTCGTTTGAAAAGTATCATCTCTCCTTAATGTGAAAGTTGTGCCTGTTTAGACCGTTCTTAAATGCTACAAATTAAAACAAGTTACGAACGAAGCATCTTCTGAAATTCAGGTGAATTCAGAACGGTGAATTCACGTGCCTAGCATCACGGAACCCAACTGTAACTTTAAACAACTCAACTGACATGCCAATTCGTCTTCCATAGCACAGCCAATTATACTTTTCGAAGCGATTTAAATGATTTATTTAAAGTTTGTTAGATGCACAGAACTCATCAAAATTTATTGCAAATAGAACAAAACTCACTGTTTAATGCACTGATTGCATTTATAGGTGTCTCACGAGTTGGAGAGTAGAGTGTTGGTCCTTGTTATGATAATCTGAGTAATTTTAACCAAATGTTGCCGTTTCTTTAGAAGTGAACCGCTAAACATAAATCGTGCTTGTCATTTCAGACGTGAATATGCATATTTTGAAGTCCGCGTTGTCCATATCAGAATAAGCGAGTCCAAAATATGCGATTTAGGGAAATGTCTGAAGCGCAGACTTTAAACGGCTTGGTGTGGTTCCAGTTCAAAGATGAATTTTCCAGGATTACTATATACATACCATACCAGAAAATAGCGTCATCGAAAACTCAGCCACACTGAACTTAGGTATGGTCACCCTTTAGAATGTTTATGTCTAAGGAACTATGAATCACATTAATATCTCCATTATCCTCGAAAAACCTGTTAAACCATAACTTGTTTCCATACAAAACGATTTATAGATTAGAATTAACGCGTGAAAACAGTTGTATCATCATTCTACTACATTCAAAATCGCGTAAAAATCCACACATTTTTTCAATAGTGCAATAATTTTGATCGCTTACTGCTTCAGTTACCTAAAAAACAACCACTTATTTATTTAACGTTAGCTAAACTGTCCATCATTCTCTTATAAACGTTTCGACAATGTTTACGTTGAGCACCAAGACCACTTTTCGCCTAGCTGAAATGTTGTCGATGTTTACACAATTACTGTGATCACGCCACTTAATTTTGTCGCCCCATTCCTAAGGCCCCCCCCCCCAAATGACAGCTCCCATTTGTGTTAAGCCCTTTTCATTCCCCTACACTAGGTCACTCATCGGCCTTTAACAGGAGACAGGAGAAGCTCTCTGCCCGGGGTCTTGTGCTTGTAATGGCTTTGGGGAATTGGTGAGGCACCTAAACAAGAGGTTCGCTTAATTGAACTCGGGGCCCGCGTCTGTCCACCGATGGACTTAACACTTTTAAGCACGATAAGTGTCGGTGGCCGACGCGAGAGCTGTGACTACCGTCTGGCGAATAAACCACTGCGTCTAAATTTATGGAAAGTAAGCATGAAGGTTGTGAGAGGGGCATACAATTCTCATTGGACTCTGGCGACCAACACACAAATATTTTTGCCAGGCATCAGTGAACGTAAATTTAATCGAGTATTTTGCATTTCATTTCACGTGGCGACATTCATCCAGAGCTTGACTGTCGCGCGGTCTTATTTGAACTGATGTCTCATTGCTCAGGACCACATTTTTAAAGATGTAATAAACGGCTAAAACTGTAGTGGCTAGAGACTTAGCACTACCTTACAACCCCCTGGTTAACAGCCCGTAACTACCCGAGGATTGGGGGAAAAGCGGCGACAGAGAACACGACCGTTTATTAGCATTACACCAGCCAAGTGGCTCTGTGGGCGTATGAGTGCGCGTGCGTGACGGTTGAATGCTGACCGAGGCCAATAACAAAAGGGGTGAGTCATTGGTCCACTAAGGCCCTCATGCACTCATCACTCACGCGAGGTGGTTGTCAGTCCGCTACAACTCCATCGAGTTAGCATTCTTTTCCTCCTTGGGTATGTTGCGGCAAAACATAACACTAAGTACTCGGGGAAGAACTGAGGCAGCAATAGGACAGAGAGACAACCCTTTAATTGAGACCGCAATTAATTCGTTGTCAGTGTGTCCTGAGTGGCGTTTGCGCGTGGGTATTTATAGCTCAGAAGTGTGGAACGACGTGAGTCATCGATGGGCTAAAATCGAGGCCCAGGGAATTTGTTATTGCCCTTGGGGATAATCCAGATTTAACATCCACGCTAATCCGGTGTGAGTTGAAGCTCCCCCACGACTGATGGAACACTGTGGAAAGGGGACATTGTGCCGGAAAATGGAGCGACTAGATATACGAGTTTGAATAATCACGATCCACAACAGGTACTTTGTGAAGTTAATTTCCACAACAGTATCACCTGTTGCAGTGATCTTTTTATCTATTTTTAAGCATGTTTTGCAGACATTCAAGAACTTTACTTTGCTGTTGACTAGTCAAATAGTGTAGGATCTGGGTCGATTCGCTGCCTGAACAAGATAAACGATATCCCAATATCACTGTCAGCATCACTTCGTTAAGATGGGTGGCGTAGAACATTGACTTAAGGAAAGACAAAAAGCAAACTTCTTTCTACCATGGGTCTTTCTCTTATGAGAGGGATTTGGTTTCCAAGATCCAACTTTAGCGACTTCAAAGTCGTGATAACAAAATTGCGGGGTGTTTTTACACCAAAACTGCCTATCTGGCCTATAAAGATGATCTCCAGATTGGGATAAATAATCAAAGCGGTCCTAGCTAAATGCATTCAAGTAAATTTAGATTATGATAGTGTCACGTTGTCGGTGGAGATCCGGTAGGCTTACATCAGTTGAAACTTTCAAACTTCTAAAATCAAAACTGGGCCTGGATCAATCAGGTGGGAAATACTTCAATATCCCACAAGATCGTGACATCGCAGTCGCTGTTAAAAATGACTAAAAATTAGGGAGCTTCAGACAAATTATTGGTAACTGTCACTAGCTATTTTCTGAGTCAGCTTATGACAACCAATGTGAGTTTCACCACCGCTTCTTGAACTCTTTTTTCTGATGAATTTTCATGTTTCAGTTAACATTGCCAGTCACCTGTTGGGTGTTGTTCCTTGTGACAGAATTTTCGTCAATAGTACTAATTCAACCTCTACATTACTTTTCCTTCTGCAGCCAATAGCAATTTTAGACATCCAAAACCTCACCATCATTTCTTCCAGTTTCACCAGACATGATTGCGTGCCCATTCTGAAAACACCTAGTCCCTCCCTCCTTTAAGCAAACGTCGATTTCAGCATCATAATTACCTGCTACAAAGAACGGTATGAATATGTGCTTGATCATCTGCAAAATGATTAGCCCCTTTTCAATGCTAGTGGGGTCGGTTTTACCTGGTTTTGTTGAGTACTTGCCCAATTGCACACCTATCGACTTTAATATTCACATTTTTTTGGGTTACTGGCTTAGCGACACGTACCTTCCACATTCCACTGTAGGTCCATTTAGAGACTAGTTAATTAGTATGTCAAATGCAAAGTTCACCAACATAGAGAGCCCTAGAGCATTGTTAATGAACACCCTTTGATGTTGATTTCAAGAAGCGCTGTCAAGATATCATGGATAACATTTAATGGGCTTGAATCGTCAATCTGCACCACTAGGCTTTTTCGCTGTTCCCATTTAGAAACTATTAAAATTACATAAAAACTTGCACATAAAAGTGGAACATAAGGATGGAACTTAAAAGCTTTAGAGCTAGAATTTTTACTGTAAAATCAACACATTTGTCAGTCAGGAGCGCCTATTTAATACTTGTAAATCTTTCCACATTAGTAATCTATAATTTTTTGGCATCTTTGAGAGTTGATTTAATTGGTTGCAAATGTAAATTAGGCTGTATCGTTTTAAAGGCTGAAGCTGCGTATGGATTTAAATGGAATTTTTATAAGCATTTAATTCCGCACAATTACACAAACGTAGCTTGTGAATCAGTCTGTATCAAATAAAACCGGGTGGATTTGTCAAGAAATTCCATTTGTGCTCATTAAATTTGGAAATCCTGATTGTCCATTTAATTTTTATCTGTGCTAACAGAAGTGTTTGCAATTCTTTTCTCCTTCTTTGGTGCTGAGTTGCAACCTCGATTCAAGTAGTCTCACGCTTAATGAAACTCTACAAATCGTGAGGCGTTAGGCTTCCGACACTTGAGTTTTGGGTACTGCATAAACATGTCACAAACGCCACTGCGCACACTTTCAGACTGGGTGGTAAGCTAACTATATAAGTGTACAGTCAGTGTGCTTGAGAACACTCATCTTCAAAGTACCAAAGGTTAGATTTGACTGTCCATGGGCTTTTCTTATTAATACGTGGTTTCTTGCAACTGATATAACCTTTTTGCAGTAAGTCAAAATTATCTGAATCAGCGCATTTCAAGTTAACCTTACCTACGAAGCTCGTTATTGTATTAAATTTATAAATAAAAACCACATACTTGCTTGCAACATGGCGAATTATTAGCGAGGGAAACATTTGTTCTTTTTGTCCCCTTGTGACTCCACTCAGTGATAAATTTCAGAACACGCTATGATTTAAATATATAATTTAATCAGATGTTGCTTAAAATAATTAACCTCATGTAATTCAGTAACCGAGTTATTAATTTTGGAAACAATTATTTGGAGCTTTGGCAATTAAAATCAAATATATTTAGCCGGTTCTTTCAGGGTAACATCACCTCGAACCTTGAAATCGTTGTATGCATTACTAAGAACATGCCCAGATAATTATAGCATTTTAATGGAATTTCTAGTGAGTGGTGTTAAGGGAAAGACCCTTCGGGTAGCATTATTAATAGTTGGGTAAGTTTTGGAATGATGGTGAGGGGATGATGGCTTTTCACGAAGTGACTCCCCAGAATACGGCAGTCTCGTATGCGCCTTGTCGCCACTTTCAAAGCCAACACACACGACTTAATAAACAATAACGGAAATATTTACTGTTTTTTTTTCAGGGGTTTTTAGTGAGGAAAATGAAATTTCCGACGCTCGACAACTTGCCCATATGTTTAGCGGCCTTAATTTACTATTTCCGGTACATTTTCCTTTTTCTCTACCCCGTCGCGCTGCTTCCAATGGTATTGATAAACACAAATGATGTGAGTTAAGTTTAACTTGCTTGACCTTTATGGGCTGTTGCTTGATTCCCTTTAAGATTTAGACATCGGAAGCCCTATGAGTCAGAAAAGGACTAGATCCCGGTTAATTATGATGAAAGATATTACACCTGTTAGTGTTTGGTGTTAAAATATTTCCAAGTAAGGAAGTTTGCTTTAGAACTTTCGACGTATATTTTCAAAAGGTTTTGGCAATGTGAGGTCACGCTTCACCAAGTTTCGGCCAACAATTGAAGTCGTCAAGTCCCCAATAGATCTTGATTTGTTGATAATGGGTCACGCAGTACCAGACAATCGCAATTTAAAAAAAAACTGTAGGCCTAATGGAGCAGTGTGTGGACATTTAATTCCACTCTTATCAATGGGTATCATGGAAACTGCAAATTAATGATTTTGACAGGGATTAACTTGATTTCTCGTTTTGAGGTGGCGAAAAGCGCCTATATCTTGCTATGGATGAGTGGTTACTGGATAACGGGTGTAGTTCCACTTTATGCAACCGCTATCCTTCCAATGTTCCTGGGACCAGTGATGGGCTTGCAAACTTCCGGAACCCTTTCTAAGGAATATCTACCGGTTAGTACATTATTATCCAAAGCGTCACTGCTTAAACTCTCAAAATACGCATTGATTAATGCAGTTTCATTGCACGAAGGAAAGTGACTTGCCACCTAACCGTTTTTGGCACTAGTAATGAACCTAAATGTTTCCATTCGTCCGTTATATCGAAATGGAATTGCGAGGGTGTTTAACGATTTACTTTGTGAGAGGCCTGATTGTATATTGAGAAAAACTTCAGCTTTGGTAATAGTCTGGAAACAATCAGGGTCTGTGCAAATATGTAATCGTTCCACAGCTTCAACTTTGGTTTTTCATCTTCAAAGACAAAATAAGAGATTATCACAATTCAAACTCCGATATTGAGTTATTTACAAAAAAATGCTCTCTATGATGTCTCCCACATGGATCTGTACTTGAACCTAAATGATATTGACCAATGTTTATTTTGAATACACAGTTCCTTACGTTATTATTTTGTGGCAAATTGTAGACCTCAAACTTTCTCTTTATTGTGAGTATGTTTCTGGCGGGTGCTGCAGAACATTGCAACCTGCATCGTCGCATTGTTATCCTGTGCCTTAAGTGCATGGGCGGCGATCCGAGATTGTAAGTCATTACATCTGTTTTTATTAGGCTACTCCTCCCATGCGTCATTCTCCTCAAATTGTAGTCAAATCCACTCACTTCGTAGGGGCTCGTTCTAGATTTAAGGGACAAATGCTAATTAAAACCACTGAGAAAAACAGGATCAGACTCCTATTTGCATGATCTACTCTTATGTAGCAGTGAACAGCCTTTCTTGTAAAATGTCAGTTCATCCTACCTAGCTAACTTAAATATGGCTAAAGTGATTTGCTTCTAGTCTCTGAAGCAAGTGCTGTATTGAGAATCACTCTCAAATGGTTGATAATGCATTTGTTTGTGTTCATGTATTTAGGACTAAGTCGGAAAGAGTTGAATGAATACTTAATTTTATTATCACATGTTCTGATATTGTACTAAATCTGATAATTAGAATCATCTTTCGCCTCGATGAGACATTTAGGTAAATAGGTCAGGTGGCGCAAATATAAATATCTCATTGCTGCCTTAGCAACTCGACAGCCTTCAAGTGATTTCCTGTGATTCTTAACTAATTTTGTCGGCAGTTTAACGTCCGTTCAGCTTCTGATGTTAAAGTTAATAAATATGATGCAGCCATTCCGCATGCAGAGATGTGATGCGTAAATGCGAATACTCAGTTTGAAAGAATTAAAGACAATCTTTGGGATCAATAAAGGCACATTCACTTTTCGTATTAGTGGAATTTTTCACACCATAGTGATTAATAAGTATGTGTAGTGCCTTGACTTGATTTTGGTTGTCTAGGCGTCCAGGTAGAGTAAATAAACCACGCAGCTATTTTGAAAATGGGCAAAGTCCAAATTGGTAATGCAAATGTAATGTAAACATCGACGTAAATAAGTTTTTTTCCATAACTTAACGCGTCTGCCCTGAATGTTTTAAGGATCATCCTGGGAATTATGATACCAACATGGTTTTTGTCACTTTGGATGAGTAACAGTGCTACAACTCTACTAATGGCTACAATTACTGAGTCGCTACTAGACAGGATTGACAAGGCTACCACAGGTAAGGCGATTAATTTTCTGCTCTGTATTTTACTGTTTAAAGGCACACTTAAAGGGTAGCATTCACATTTCAGATCACGAAAGTTCTGCAGCAAAAAGAAGCTCCATTGATAAGTGAGTTCCAAATTTAACACATTACGAACTTCCGGAATTGTCATGAAGTGTAGTAACAATTTTAGTCAACAGGCAACTCGTAAAATTGTAATTTGAAACTGCCAATTTTTTATGGTGAACAATTATATTTTTGACCCATTTTAGAATTAGTGACAGTGAAGAGCAGGAGGACATTATTCGAGGTCTTGAAATAACCGCAAGGAGATCAAAGTGGCAGAAATTTGGAGTCGGACTGAGCTTGGGTGTTTGTTATTCTGCTAGTTGCGGCGGAATGGGAACTCTTACTGGAACACCAACCAACATCGTCGTTTATAACCTCTTGATAGAGTAAGACGATTTTTGTTGGCAACCAACCCACGGCATCACAACAACACTTAGTTTTATGACAACTGCTAAAAATGTTGCCCAAGATGATTGCTCAGTCTGTTAATGCTGTGACGAAAGTGCATTTTGAAAACCGTTTGTCATTTTAGTGTCTATGGCAGCCAGACCGGTTTGAATTTTGGCTCATGGATGGCTTATGCCTTTCCAATATCCATCATCATCCTTCTTGTTATTTGGTTTGTGATCTGTTTAATTTACCTCGGACCAAGGTGAGTGTTATGGGCCGTAATTCTGTATTTACTGTGCCTACCTTGAAATTAACACTACCTTTCCTTACAGCGAGTTGTTCAGTTGCAGCCGAGCCGAGCCCGAGTCTTCTGAGAGCTCATTCGACGACGTTTTCACTCCCGACGAAAGAGAAGTTGATGTCGAAAGTGAACACCGAAATTCAGATATATCGCTCAAGGAAATAGTAAATAAGGTTATCAAAGAAGAGAAGAAGGTGCTCGGTCCCCTGACGTACGTTCAAGTCTAAAAGTAAAAATAAATTATTAATTTAGTTGACGCTAAGATTCAATCAAAATTTTGGCGAATACAAACAAGTTAGCAGGAGTTATAATAAGTTAAGGAGTGAATAATGCAAGTTTAAATCACCATGGATTAAATTGAGTCCATAATTGGCCAAATCTGAGAATAGATTGTAAGCCAGAACCAAAATAGGGAACAGAATCTGTCGAAATTTGGATTAACAATATTGTCTAATGAGAGTTTACCATCGTTCTGGCAATTTCGTGATTCTGCACCCGTTGACGTATCGATTCTTATCATCAAAGAATATAATTAAATACAATTTTATGCCAGCACAACTGGTAAAAGTTCTGCAATTCACAGAGTTTGTAGAACTTGAGGTAAATGGCAATCTTATAGCATAAAATCAATGTTTCGTGACATGACTCCTAAATAAGTCTTACGTTTTTCACGCAAAAACTAAATATTGGCAAAATTGTTAAAAATTAATGGCGTCGCTATTATTGGAATGGACTATTGGTTAACGTTTGAGCTATGATTAAAGTTCGTGTTGTAGACGATTTAAATGGATTTATTCCATTTGCGGAATGTTCATGCTACTTTTTTGTAATGGAATAGTGTTAAGCATAAATTATTTTGCTGTTGTTGATAATTGATCCTGAGTGTAACTGATAGGCGTTGTTTAGTTTCTGCTAATCACGACTAAAGTTGTTATTTTAAAAGAACAATCATTTGAAAATTTTAAGATAGGATATCTGTTTTGGATTGCATAATGTCTGTAATTTGCTTGTATAATGTCCTCGAACAAATGCTAGAAATATTCTAGCGCAATTTAACTTCAACAAGGTGAAGGTTGCCGTAAATCACTTTGGTTTTATATCTACTTCAAATTCATGATCGACAGTTCACACAGAAACAGAAAATCATGCTTAGTCTACTTCATTTATTGGCTAAAAAGGTTGCAGTACTTTTAATTTGAAAAAAAAGCATCAGTTTAAATCAAATTCTAAACTGCATGCAACATTGAAGCTGCCCTTTAGGAATTTTAGGCAAAGACTGTTTGAAAAATTTTAGGTGGGCAGAAGGAACGGTCTTATTTCTCTTTATCTCCGTCATCATTATGTGGATTTCAAGGGAACCTGGCGTACAAGGTTGGTCCCGTTTTATGCCAAAAAAGATCAATGCTCAGGGTCGACTTATAAAGTACGTCAGTGTACATTTATTCAGTTTGATTAGTTGTTGATTATAACCTTAAAACCGTTTTCCCATTAGCTTTGTTGGAGATACACAGCCCATCGTATTGGTGGCTTTCCTTGCTATGATACTGCCATACAACAATCCCTTTAAACTTCGTATTCGTCCAGACGAAACTCGTGAGTCTCTTTTTACTACGTAACAATCGATGTCGTGAGTGATCTAAACTTGGGAAGTGTGTACCTTTAGGTGCAGAAGCGAGAGCTAGAATAAACAGACCCCTTCTACCCTGGTCGGTGGCAGAATCGAAGTGCGCTTGGGGTGTCATCATCCTAATCGGTGGTGGGTTTGCTCTTTCCAGAATTGTTACAGTAAGTTGAAGGCAATCTACATTGCTTTAACGTATTTGTATGTCACCTTGGCAGCGATATTGCTTCGAAAACACAACTTCCTAACCAAAATACACATTATTTCTGGCGTTCACATTCATTAAACTTTCTTGGTATGTTTCCCAAATCACAATTGCACAAGAGTGACTTAGGATAACTTTTTACAATCGCCAATGTTTTTTGAATACTCTGAAGTGTCTACAAGCTTTGGCTGGAACAATTCTACATTACTTTTCTTAAATCAAAGAATGTGTGTACTTCGTGCTTTAATGAAGGGTGTGCTGTAATTTTAGTCCTCTGGCTTATCCACTGTGATCAGCGGAAGTTTGACAGGACTGAGTGCTCTTCCGGCATTCGGCATTGTCTATCTACTGACGATAATGTGCTCCTTTTTGACGGAAATGGTCTCGAATACTGCTACTGTTACCATTCTTGCACCAATCATGTTTGAACTTGTGAGTTTATCGGTGGTTAACTTGATAACTAATATCTTCGAAATTCTACTGACAATTAAGTCCTATTGCTAATGCTAAAAGGAAGCAAACTTATGCGTTCAGTCTTTTTGACTATTAAGTGTATTGCATTATTTTTGACGGAATTGCAGCAGTTGGATTAATCCGATGAACCAGCCAAAAATAGCTTGCTTTGCTGGAAAGCTAAGAAAGTTTTTCCAAAAAAACCTAAATTGGTTAATTATTTACTATCCATACCTCATTTACTATAATTAGTGCAGGCATAAGTCCTGCTCATCACCATTTATGAAACTTAAATTTTAACCAAGATCTACTGAGTACAGAGAAGAACAAATCTGTTAGTTGAAAGTCGGTGAATGCTTTTTTTTTCGAAGGCCGACAGGGTGGCAATTCATCCGTTCTGCCTCACCTTGCCACTTGTTCTTTCCACCTCATTGGCATTCATTCTGCCAGCTGCGACTCCTCCAAATGCAATTATCTACGCCAAGGGCCGTGTTAAACTTATCGATATGGTAAGTTTTCATGCTAATTCGCATTAGATAGTAGAGAAAATGGGGGTCAGTTTAAACCCGTGGTTTCAACAAATTGCGCACATTCTACCCGACTCCGGCCTGTTGGCCTTCATAACTGCCTCGATTGGGTAGGTATTAGCAACTTTGGTCAGTCATTATATATACTGTACGGTTTTCATTTCTCTTCAATCAGCCAACGGTAAAGGATAATTTGGGCTAAAAAGTTTGATCTGCTCGTTGAAAGCCCTGTCGACGGTTGAATAGAAGCTTGCGCGATAAGGAATCGCTGGCAATGCCCATTTTCGGAAATTTAAGTTAAACTTTTTTAGTGTAGGATCCTAAAGTTGAGATCGACATCTAAAAGAATTGTTTTTGAGCATAGTGCATCACAAGGTTTAAATAAATATGCACCTCAATATGCTCTTAAAATGCTCGCTTCCGGAAATGTTTTGTCAATTTTTAACTACACGTTGTTTTAACTGAACTCAAGTGCAAAACAAATTTAGAAGTCACTCGTCCTTGTGATCACCGCATTCCACAAACATTTTGGCTTAATAGATTTATTTTTTAATTAAAATGTCGCATCATCAACTTTTTGTGGCACGAAACACTAGCATAGAGATTCAAATAAGCTGACTAACTGTCTGATCTGAACTTAAATCAAGGCATCTTCAATGTTCACAGCTAACTCACTTTTATTGTGGAGATTTTGACAAATCAATATATCGACCGGAGCTTCTGTTACTTTGTTCGGTAAAATATCCCAAACTAAATAAACTAAATAGGACGAAAGTTGCCTGTTTAGGGAGATTGACCGCTTAGCACGAGGACTGTGATTACTTCTAATTGTGAACGTTAATTCTGGAACTTTACCACATTTAATTTAACAAATTAAAATCTGTTCGCAGAGCGGAATGAAATCGGATATTTCTTCATTAGTCTTATTTGTGAGCCAGTGGATGTGACAGTAAGGAAACGCAACAGCGCCATTGCTTGTGTACTGAGAGTTCGCTGCGTTAAAGTATAACACTTTTGTTTCTTAAACTACGTTTGGTGCTATCCAAAGAATTCGGGCGTGTTTTGCATTTTGTAACAGGTAAAAACGGGCATTCCTCTCAACTTCATTGCCCAGTTCGTTGTGACTGCTTGCACGATGACCTACGGTGCCCAGTTATTTGGCCTCCACGCCGTACCCGATTGGGCTGGTAATTCGACGCTGGGACGCTGATCGCCAAATACGAGGTTCCCCTAGTTGCTGCTGTTCGATAGACCTGAGGTTTTTTGTAAACTTGCCATCTTTTCCTCTTACAAACTCTTCCCATACTTCCGCTCACCGTTTTTAGAGATATATTGTGCTTGAATTCAGGATTCTAAGCAACAAATTCTCACTTCGATGTTTGGAGAGTGAATTTGGGTAACATTGATAAGAATTATGAAACACAAATAAAATGGACATGGATCTGAAGCTCCTAATCTTGATCGCAGAACTCAGAAGCCGGCGATTCTTGAAGTTCCGTGGTTTTCGCAAGCAATAAATTGATTGGAAAAAAATTACAGCAGTGCAGGTAGAAAGTTGTTAGCTGTTTTAGTCAGTGTGTTGAAATTATTCCTGATTCTGAGCATCGGACAATGCACTACTTAAGTCAGACTGCTTTATTAAAACACCCTCACGGATGTAACGTGTGTTCATTGAGTCATGTGACAAAAATGATCCAATCATGATCACTTGTGCCGGAGAGAAAATGAGCAGGCATCTCAGAACCCGAGCAGAAGTCGACTACTATGCATGATTATTGCATTAGCTTTCAAATTCTGACATGCCCAGAACGGTAGTGAATCGTGTTGATGCACGTCCAATAACCCGGTCGTTGCAGCTTCACATGCACTGTCCTCCTTTTCATGGCGTGCCAGTCAGTCCCGCAGGACCGCCTGCCTATTTACCCCCCTGCATGAACCACCATCACCCGCTTTATTCGTCTCGCCATCCAGACGTTTGTATTTTTACTAGTCCACTCAACTGCACCCGCCGACAAAATCGCATGAGTCATGCACTACCTTTAATTCACGCCCACGGCACTGCAACTTTGTTGAGCTACCAGTAAACGGTCGTGCCCAGTCGCCTTCGGTCTTCTATTATCTTCGCGGGTATCAGGGTATCGTACTCGGACCCTCATCAAGCTTTTAAAAATCACTTTCTTTTATGCAATTTAAAATAACGATTGTGGTATCTGGTGCATTTACATTGACGTTAACCTAGATTACTTGCGCGGTGGCGATTATGCACTAAATGCATCGTGTTTTGGCGATACATGCAAAAAAGGGTAACTGAAATTATGTTCACGGGACTACAAGCTGGTGCTAACATTGTTCGGTCCGGTTTAATTTAACGTACGGTTTACTATTTAAATGGGTCGGGTGGTAAAAGTGGTTTACGTGCTGATTTAAACCTGCAAAGCACATAGGGAAAGTAAAATTTAAAGTCGTTTCAGGATGAAGGCTAGCGAAACCAAAGACGGTTATTGGCAGTAGTCGTCTGTTTAGGGCAAATAGAACACATTGCCTGTAACCACCACTATTGCATTGTTGTTTTTGTGTTTCCAAACTGAGATTTAGCTAGGATGCCACAAATTTTACCGCAAATTGAATGAAAGCAGGTCAGATTAATTTGTTTTATCGGAGATAATAACTCGACTTGCCAGTAAAACTAAGTCACAATCACATTCAAAACTGCAGCACTTTTGATTCCATAAACGAATTGCATTTGTGCAAAAAAGACTCTAAACTCCAATGAAAAGACCATTCTAAAAAAACTTTCATAAATCTATTTGTAGCGTATAATCTAAGTAAAATGGTTAAAGAACTATCGGTTTTAATTCCCGGGTAAGGTTGTGCTGCCGTTACAGGAATTTCTGCATCTTTAAAAGACGCGAAGTTTGGTCTCTAACTTCACGCTTAATTCCGCAAAATTTTAATCCAAAGTGTAAACTAAAGGTAAAATTGTTTTGTCTCAGCTTTTTCTTTAGGCACTTTGAATCCCATATAGACGATAATAGCAGTGAGTAACCCGCTCAATTTTATTATTCCGATTAAAAATGTATACTTCGGATTATTTTAAAAGCAACCTACTTTTCTACTTAACTTCTTGGAGCTACCGTAAGCTACCTCAATCTGGCGATAAATTTTGAGAAATTGAATAAGTGGAAGAATTGAACGAACTACTCTAACTTATCCCTCATCGGTAGAATGATTTCAGTTATTTCCTTTATTGTATACTAACTTGCCTCCTTGATTATAACAAACTAGACCGTTAAAATTTCGATGTGGTAAGAAGGTAGTAAAACCAAAAAACGGTTTTTTTTGCAGTGGAGTCGATGACAACTCAAGGCAGTGCGATTCAAATGACCACTCTAAATGGGAATCAGCTTTACAAATAATATTATTCCATAATTAGCACACCAAAATTTAATGCCCTTCAAGTTTTTATCTACTCACCTGAAAAAAAAACCATAATTACCTTAGGTGGCTCCACAGGAAAAACAATCACTTTGTTAATCATTTTGAACAACGCCCTATAGAGTAGCACAAACGGAATTGAGAACCGAATTTGATCTGTTTAGGGTGGAAGGTCTTACATCTGCGTAGTTCTGATCGACGTTACGAAATTTTCAACGGATAAATTTGCTTTACCTAGACAAGTGGATGAGGACAGAATAAATCAATTTAAGAGATACCTAACTTGCTAAATCTAACATAAGTTCAAGTGCCTTTGACTAGATTTGGTTGATAGAAGTGACGTTTCATGAATTTGTGGCACTTTTAAAGCATTTAAAGTCTTCAATGTCGCCAAAGGCGTGAGAGATCAGGAAGTCATTAACCCAGACGCAGACAGCAGACACGTTAGTTGATGGTCAATTAAGTCCTTGTGTACTCCAGTGACTAAATACTAAAGAGTGAAATTTAATCTAGTTGGGAAATTCCTTATTTTTTTAGTTCTCGATATAAAATCTGAGTGTGACTGGTACATGTCATAAACCTTAACACGCACCAATCAGCTGTCGATCCAAACTCAAGCTATGATTTATCAACTTCCACCTCGAGAAATAAACAAACCCTCAAAATTTTCTTGAGAAGAAAAAAAGAATTAAGGTGGCTTAGTTATTTTTTTTTACAACTGTGAGTTTAACGATAAAACTATTAAACTTTATTAATTAACGTTGTTATTTTGCGCACATTCACTGCATTGGTTGTGCTGGTGCTTGGGAAAATTGGCCTTAGGAAAGCACATTGCTTTTGAACTGATCCGGGAAAAATCCTAAACTTTTGATAATTAGATCTTGTACTTCGTCAAGCGAAAAAATTTCTCAGTTAAGGCTGCCGTTGTTTCAAAACAGCCTGTGAAAGACTGTTTGCTAAACAAGAGCTTAGGCCCAAATTTCCTTTGAATTATTAAATGCATACTAATGTAGCAACACACACATGACATCCACACAACTCGGACTTACATTTGCAAACAATTTTACTATTTGCAGAGCTCCTGGAATTCGCAGCTGATGAATTTGAGCTAGAAACTCTACTTATCGTCTACATTCCTTTCGAAAAAAAGACATTTAATTGCGCAGGTAAAAGTCCTGTTTTATTTCAAGTGCTAGACGAAGGCAATTTGAGTCAGTGTGTGGACACATTTGATTCTGATTATGTGGTTAGAGGGACATTGTATTTGCATTATTAGACTAAAGTCGTTAGTTTTTTTAACTTTGTTAAGATTGTCGATGGCAGAAACACACTCCAAGTGTGGGGTACGCGTGTATAATGGATATGCGTGTGTCACCACGTCTCCCACTCAATATATAGGCCTAGATCTCAACCAAAACACAAGCGCCCAAAATTGCGTCGCTTGTAAATGCTTGGGCGACTTCATCAGGGTAATCATGTGACGTAAAAGTAAATGTGTTGGGGATCCATAATACCCCAAGATTGATCATAGACGATTTTTGTCATTATTTACATTAATTCCCTGACATCTGTTTTATTACTTGAATTAGTGTGGACTTTTGACAACTCACTCGCATGTGGCTGACGAGATTAAAGCTCTCTATACGAGCTCTGATCTTGTTCTTGTATTAGCATGGGAAGGTCAGTTTTAGCGTTAACAAGAGATCTGGTACCATTATTTGAGTGGTTTTGTAGTGGACTGACAGCTGCCCCGCGCGAGTGTGCGTGCACGAAGGCCCGTGTGTAGCGATGACTCATCCCCTTTTGTTATTGATTTTTGTCAGCATT